TGCAGAGGACAGGTTTCCAGGACAGGGTTTTTGGAACTAATGGGAGCCGTAGGAGATATCGTTTAGATTTTAGAAACCCTGGGTTGGGTGACTTTGGTATATTATTTCCAATCTGCAGGGCAGTTTCTATGGGCCTGACAACTACCTGCCTGGAAGATTCCCAGGTGAAGGACTCGCAGAGTTTTTCTGTTCTTGTTTTCAATTCCTGTAGAGCAAGCTCTTGTTGAGACAAAGAGGGAATTTAAAGCCTTTCCTGGCTGCCGGCTCTGTGAGAGATAGTCAGTCTCATGATGTTATGGTAACGCCAAATGCTTGGATTTACTCCAGTGACAACATGCACCTTTGTTAGAGTTCACTCTGGCCCCTGTGGAGCATGGAGCTCATCTTGTTTTGTAATTTGTGCTGCCCTTCTGGTTGGTAGCATTAGAGGGTACATTACACCAACTTGTTCCTGGCTTCCAGGTGCTGCCTTTCATCAACAAAGCACAATGTGGCTTGTGTGCTGGCTAGCTGAGAGACTCCTCTGATTAGAAGCCAGATCAGCCAGGACATTCAAGCGAACAGCCCCCAGAATCAAGCATCTGGGGATTGGATGCAGGTTGTTCTGGTGGTTGCCAGGCTTGGTTCTGGAGTGCACTTCCTCCAGGGGTCTGACAGAGCCGAGTTTGTTGATCTTTTGGGCATGGTCAAGGGCCCATCTGTTTCCTTTGGCTTGTGTGGGAGGGGCGGAAGGGTTGGCCAGGCTGCTGTGTCAGGGATTCTTTTCCTGACAGGTTTTTGTTCCTAAGCTTCTATACTGCATGTTGCCCTTGTGCCTGGAGATGGGGTATTGGGAGCATCCGACACACACAGTAATAACTATGCCAGGAAAAGGAATTGCACATCACATCCGCTCGCCCCCACCCCCACCCCTGCCCTTCACATGTCAGGCCAGAATCACAGCTCAGCTATTGGGAATGCAGCTGAAGGCCGACCCCTCCCCTCCATACTCCTCATTCTGATCCTTGTTAACTTCAGCCTCTGCCCGGCTGGAGCTGGATATTGTACTGAGTATCACTCCTGGCCTGTGCTGCGCTGAGCTGCGTATCTCAAGACCCCTGGGGCCCATGCTCAGCACTCGACGTGCACCTGACACATGCTAAGCTTTTCCAAAACCTAACCCATAGGGCTGCAGCAGGACTTAAGTCATGCCTAGGCTTCATGCTGGGCCCTGCCCGGGATGAGGGGCTGGGACCAAGGCCTTGTGCTGGCCCTGCCCAGGGGTGGGGAGCTGGGGGGAAGGGGGGGGGGGCTAGGCCTCAGGCCCAGGGGTGAATTTCCTCCTGAATTAGGAGCTGAGAGAGCTGGGCATGGTGAGAGGGGTGTCAGCCATTCAGTTGCGGGGTAGCGAGAACTGCCCTTCTCACCTGGATCCCGCAGGGGGAAGTCAGGAACTGTCTCAAGTTTTGTAATCTGCCATTAAGAGAGTCCTACTGGGAAACCTGAGCAGCCAGTGCTGAGCAAGCAGACAGGAGGATTTCATCCTGGAGGAGCCTGGCCCCCGCTCAGAGTAATAACCCCCTGCCTTGCATTGCAGAAACACGACGCTCTGTTTGCTGGGGTTGGGTTTCCAGCCCGTGGGCAGGGGCTGCGTTAGCAGCAGAACAAAAGCTGATTAGCATCAGCTCATGTTGCTCTCCCAGGGAAACAGGAATTATTTGTGCTCCGGTATCTTCAACAAAAATCTCCCGTTGTTTATATTTTGCTTTATCTTTATTGGCTTCAGAGCCGTGTTTTTCTTATTACCAGTTGGATATGGCTGAACAGGGGGACGTTCGTGCCCCTTAGCACATTCCCGCCGCCCCAGAGGCGAGGCCCAGGCTCAGCACTATTGATGCTGCCATTGCTCCATGCTGTAATGCCCTCGCAGCTCCCCAGTCTGCACCCAAGTCAATGGGAGCTTCTGCCTCTGACTTCGGTGGGGGCAGGAGTAAGATTCTTGTGTGTCTCAGAGCCCTGCTAGCTTGCAGAACTGCAGCATACAGGGGCAGGGGGTTGGAGCCCCACACACACGTCTCCCACAAACCAAACAAACTTACAGGCTCTAGCTGTTCCTGAGGCCCCCAGCCCGGATGGTGCCTAGTGACTTCTCACCCATCTGCACATCTGGTCCTCCTGTGAGAGGCTCTGCATGTAAATCAGATCTAGCTCCATAGTCTGCCAGCAGCAGCATCTAAATAGGAACGGACTCCAGATTAAACAGCAGGCACTGCCTGAACAAGCAGCTAAACACAGTTGCTGAAAGGGGAACAAAGGGATTGTGACTCCCAGTGAGAGGCCACCCCCGTCTCCCAAAATTATCTGAGCTAAGACCACCGGAAACTCAGCACGGCAGCAGCCTGCAAGGGTGGCCCTGGCTTCGGTAGTGTTGCCAGGGGCCTCTGGACAGGATCCCCTGGCTGAGGAAGCACCAACCTGCAGTTGGAACCTTTTGGGGAATTCCATGGTGTGAGAAGAGCTCTTTGCGCTACCCTGGGCGGAGACAAAACATCTTGTGAAGGGCAGGGAGGCCCAATGTCCCCCACCCTCCTGTATCTCAGGGGTTGCGCTTGGAAATGTACCACAATAGCTATTCTGGACTGAGCCCTCGTGTGGACACCCTTATTCCAGAATAGCTCCATTAGTAAATTCCCAAGTGTAGACAGGTTCTCAGTGCAAGTGATCAGAGAGTGGGCGAGAGGGGGTGCTGAAGGGAAATGGAGAGATCATTAGCGTCACTGTGTTTGGAGGGCCCCCCAGGGCTTGCTGCATGGTTGGTTAGAACCTCAAAGATAAGAATGGGGCTATGCGATCCCTGTCCAGCGCAGTGCGGGGTGCAGGCACAGAGCAGCAGCTTTCCTGCATTGCAGGGCTGCCTCCCACACCTCTGCAATTAATGGGAGCACAGAGGGGGAAGCGACGAACCGCTGCTGGGGCTGGGACAAGCTGGCACCGGCTACGGCTTTTGTCACATGAGCTGAGCGGGAGGCTGGGCTGGGGCTTGGATTAATCAACTTTTGCAAGAACGGCCCCACGGTCCCTCTTTGGCCCAGCTTTGGCGTCAGTGCAGGAAGCTTGGTGTGTGTGTGCGGCTCCGATCAGGGAACATGGTCCCTGCCTGGGGAAGCCGCTTATCTCTTGGAGCCGCTCCTGCCCTGCTGCTGGGCTGGGCTGAAGGTCACAAGCACGCCGGGCTGAGATTCCAATCACAGCAAACTGGCTCGTATAAGAGCCTGGCTCAGATGCAAACAAGAACTAGACACGTTCATGGAGGATCAGTCCATCAATGGCTACTAGCCAGGATGGGCAGGGATGGTGTCCCTAGCCTGTTTGCCAGAAGCTGGGAATGGGCAACGAGGGATGGATCACTGGGTGATTCCCTGTTCTGTCCATTCCCTCTGGGGCACCTGGCATTGGCCACGGTCGGAAGACAGGATACTGGGCTAGATGGACCTTTGGTCTGACCCAGCATGGCCGTTCTTATGTTCTTATGCACCCCTCATCCGAGAGGAAGCCAAGGCACTGGCGGAGAGGCTCTGTGGAGCCTGGGGAAGTGGATTCCTTGGTGCCCCTCACTTTGATAGAGTACAGCTTTGCACCTGTACCCCACCTTCCCTCTAGGATCTCCTCGCACTCAGCCACCATTCAATAGTGAACCCCGCCTCAGCGCTATGGGGCTGGTGGAGAGGCCTCAGTTTCCCCAAGGTGACACCATGATGCCCTGGCAGAGATGGGAATGGAACTTGAGCCCTGCTCCCTGTCTCCAGCTCCAAACACTAGACCCTGCTGCATTCCTCCCTTAACCCACTCCCAGCCGTGAAACGTCCCACACAGCAGCCAACATCCCAGCCAGCACGTTTCCTGCCTTCCCTGGGGGCAGGGGGGTCACTTCCCTCCCAAGTTGCCCTGGTAGAAACTTTCCCTGATGTTTCACTTAGACTGTTCCTTCCTCCCCTGCCACCCCGGTCTGAGCCGGTGAGAGAGACCAGCCCTTTCCGGTGCTCCCACATGGGCTTCCAGCACATCCCCTGCACTCCCTTCTCCTAGACTGCATCAAAAGGCCAGATTCTCATCTGCCATGAGTGGCTGTGTTCCTCTGGTGACGTGGGTGACCCTGAGCCGATTCACTCCATCCAAGGGTCTGGCCCCCTGGGTTTGTTTCCTTGCTCTCTCCCCACGTGCCCCCTCTGATCCCTGTACTGGTTTGTCATCGCCCTTCTTTGCATGTTTTGTTTGGACTTTTCCTTCCTCTCTGGAGTGAATCGGGGCCCTGCTTATGGTCCCAGCTTTACCTGCTGGAGCTGGTTGCTTTGCTTTGTGCTGCCCGGAATTTCTCCCGCAGGGAAGGGGAGGCGCTCCCAGCTGCTGACACTGATGGAATCCTGCCCCGTCTTCTCGGGCACCCTGATCTAAGCTGGCCCTCTCCCTGCTCGGTGGCGCATGTATAACGACCAGCTGAAATCCCAGTAGGGCCAGCCCAGCTCTGCCTCTTCCCGTGGGAGACAGATTTGGTCCCGGGAGATTTTCCATGTGTGGGTTTCTCACCCCTCAATTGTCTTTGCTCTGTGTGGCTACTCCAGAGCCAGGACCTGGGTCTGGCTGCTCTGCTTCCTTCAGCCAGTGTCCAAGCTCTCCAGGGGTGGGGCTGTTTTCGTAACAAAATGCATCCAGCAAAGCTAGGAAGACACTGGAGCAGGTGAGCAGAAATGCATGGTACCACTCAGCCATCAGCCTGTCCCCCAGTCCCAGACCCTGGAGCGCTCCCTTGCCAACCCCCCAGACCCCTGCCCTATCCCTCCCTGTACAGTCACCCGCAGCATGGAGATCTCACTCAACCTCTTATCTGATGACTTTGGAGGCTGTAAGATCCAGCCCTGGTGAGCGGATGTTTTCCCTGCCCTCTTCCCTCCCATTGGCTGGGCTGCCGCCAATAGCCCAGGTGCTAGATGGGGCGATAAGTGGCTGGGGGATATCTGGGCAAGGGCCCTGCTGCCCCTCTCCTGGGGAACGTCTGCGCCCTGGCCCCACCGGTGGGGAGAATGCCCGTCCAGCCCCGGCCACGCCTCTGCTACTGGCTGCTAATCCCTCTCCTGCAGTGGGGTAAGGCAGCTGCCCCTCCCCGGGTCCTGCTTGTGGGGCCAGATTTCCCAAAGAGCCCAGGCCTGGCAGCTCCCGCTGGGCCCCTTGCGGTCTGATCCCCAGCGGATTGGATGCTGAGCCTGGCTCCAGGCCTGACATGCTGCCTGGGAAGCCCCTTGGAAGGCAGAGAGCGGCCGACCCTGGCCAACCGCCCTGGCTCCAGCTGCTGCATTTGTCTCTTCTCCCTCCCCAGGGCAGGTGCTGCCTCTTTGTGACCAGCTGCTACAGCTTGGCCCTTCTGGTTCAAGGGATGTGGCTCTGCTAGTGGGGATGGTCTGAAGGGAGCAGTGTCCCCTAGGCTGGCCTCCCCCACCATGAAGAGCCCAGCCCCTCGGGGGGCCGTGCCACATCCCCAGCACCCTGTGTGGTCACCAGCCCTCCCTGCTGCTCTGGAGGGGACGGGTGCCCGGGGGGGTCCCCACTGCAGGCCCAGGGGTTCCGTGCAGCACCTGGCCGTGTGCGTGTCTCCCGTAGGCAGGCCCTATGGAGTCAGACGTGTCCACGTAAGGGCGCGTCCCTCGGCCCATCGCTGCCTCCCGCATACACAGCCCCCACCCGGCTCCTCTGATGCCCTCAGCGCCCGGCTGGGAGGTCCCAGCAGGGAGAGAGGAGCAGGGGGGCATGAGCGCTCTCCTTGCATCCAGGCCCTAGAGCCCCAAAGGGCTGGTTGGCAGGGGGGTCAGCTGCATCGGGCTGACTCCTATCTGAGGGCTAGATACTGTTTGGGAGGGGGTACAGCTCATCTTCCTCCCCCGGGCAGGGCACTCCTGGCTCTCACATCTCCCCTGGGTTTGGGTTCCTTTCTGCCGGGCTGTCCCATTGGGGACCCCTCCCCGGGAGCCCTGAGCAGATTTATGGCTAGTCGGAGGCCCCGGGGGCTGATCAGCGTTTCATGCTCCCAGCTAGGGCCTGTCCTGCAGTGCTGAGTAAGCCCGTCCTGAGCCAAGGCACCGAGAGGCACTGGGGCTGTGCTGGGTGGGGTGTGAGGGGGTCCTGGTGGGCTGGCGCTGGGCTCAGTGCTGGGCCATGGGGCCCGTATCCAAAGCCCTTGGGAGTGGATGGGAATGGCTCCTAGGGGTATGAGTGGGCATGTGCCAGGGAGGGACACGCCAGCCCCTCCCGTGGCGCGGTCAGTCCCTGGGCATTTCCACCCTCTGCCTCCATCTCCACCCTGCTAGACCCGTGCCCCAGCTCTGCCCCATCCCTGTGCCTCGGAGCCGATATTTGCTGCTCACCTTCCTCGGCCCGGAAAATCGATCTGTCTGCTCAGGAACCAGCCCGTCGGCACCAGCGCCCCCGACGTTGGAGCCCAGCCCCCGCAGACAGCTCCCCACGGGGAGTCTCCCCAGGGCCCAGGGGGAAGCCCCAGCCCATTCCCTTTGGCGTCTCCCTCCAAAGCCGGGGCCTCCTCTGCGAGCTCATCTCAGCTTGAGCAGGTGACAGGGCTGGGTGTGGAATGGCCTGTGGGGCCAAGCCCAGCTCTGCCATGACCGCTCTCTTCTCCTGCTGCAGGGTGCGGGGAGCTGACCTACGGAGACCTCGAGGATGAAAGTAAGAGACCCCTTGTCACGGAGTTCCTGGGCGATGCTCTGGAACTGCTCCCCATGAAGTCAGTCAGGACTCTGGGGTAGTCGCCTTTCTGTGAGCAGCCTGTCTTCAGGACACACAGCTCACACAGCTTCCACCTTCCTGGGTCTGACCTCGGAGCATTCAGCATCCTCTGCCTCTCCGTGCGCTTCCCACAGCGAGTCCGCTCAGGCGGTGCTCCTGGGGAAGCCAGAGGGTCCTGCACCCCAACTTCGCAGTCAGACGGGACTCTCAGCCAGCCAGTAAAACAGAAGGTTTATTAGACGACAGGAACATGGTCTAAAACAGAGCTTGCAGGTGCAGAGAACGGGACCCCTCAGCTGGGTCCATTCTGGGGGGCAGTGAGCCAGACAACCACGTCTGCACTTCACTCCATGTCCCAGCCAGCCCCAAACTGAAAAACCCCTCCAGCCCCTCCTCCTCTGGGCTTTGTTCCTTTCCCGGGCCAGGAGGTCACCTGATTCCTTTGTTCTCCAACCCTTCAGCTCTCACCTTGCAGGGGGGAAGGGCCCAGGCCATCAGTTGCCAGGAAACAGGGTGTCGGCCATTCTCTGTGTCCAGACTCCTGCACACACATGCCCTCTAGGGCACTGCAATGATCATACACCCTTACCCCACCACCTAGATACTTAAGAACTGCCTAGGGGAAACTGAGGCACCCCCCCCCACTATTCAGAGGAAACATTAAGAACAGTCCCACTTCGTCACATCTCTCCCCCCTTCGAGATCGAACTGAGCGGGGTCACTTTAGCCGGTGACCTGGGGAAGTTCGAAGCCACCAACGTTCCCATGGATGCCCCAGCATCTCTCCCATTCCTTGGTAGGAGTTACACCAGGCCCTTCCAGTTTCACGCCCTCCCTTAGATCAGGGGTGGTCGATAGCACTCGCAGGCCGCATGTGGGAAGGTTTATGCAGCCCATGCCCTTTGGCCACCCCAAGAATGTCTCCCCATTGACCATCACCTTCTACTCCCACTGGAGGTCCGGGGGGGCCTGGCCCCAGGAAACTCCACACAGACATATAGGTTGGGGTCAGGAGTGGGAGCCTGTCCACATCCCCAACCACCTGGCTGACGGAGTCTATGGCCTTGGGACCCAGCAAGGGAGCTAGACACCGGGGCTTTTCCGCAGGGTCCCCTTGGTTCAAATCGCCAGCCTGCTCAAAGGCAGTGAGGTGGGCATCCACACCCCCCCCTCCTTAACCAGGGGCAGCAATTTAGTCTCGAGGTTCCCTGCGGAACTGGCCCCCCGGGATCTATCCCCACTCACCCCGGGGAGGTCCCCTAGGCCTCTCCGCCCCACCACCGCCAGTTCATGCTGCTGCTGCTTCTGCAGCTCTTTCTCGGGCTCTCGCTGTCTCCCACGGTCCTCTTGCTCTCTCAGACTCAGCTGCAATCCCGTCCGTCTTGATCCCCCGATGGGGAACCCGATCATGAAGACCCTCGTCTGGTCGGGGACAGGAGTCTTGGCGATGCCTGGCTCCCGCTTCAGCTGCTCCCAGATCCTGCTATAGCCCCAGTTGGGGTCAGGAATCTGTTCCTTAGAGCGGTCATCCTCCTCCAGCTGCACGATTAACTCTGCTTTGGTGAACTTTCCAATGCTCAACCCTCTCTTTCTGCACAGGGTTACAATGTCCTTCTTAAGGAGACGGTGACAGGCCATCACTCCGCTCCTCCCAAGTTGTTGTGGACTCACAGGCCCGTGTGTTCTCAGCTCCCCACGGTTTCCAGGGAGAACCCCTAGTGTGCCAGCCCTTCTCAAGGTCACCACCTCTTTGCCAGGGTCGAGCTGCAGACTCCTCCGCCCCTGAGACTGCTCACTGCAGTCCCCAGGGGGACCCCATTACTGCACAGTACTTCTCACTGGTCACACACTCCCAGGGGTTAACCGCCCCCCGAAACCGCTCCTCTCTGAGCCTTCAGCAGGCCTGGTCCTCGGCAATCCCCCTTCGTGTTACTGCTCCCCAGTCACTTACTGCAGGAAGCGCCATCCACGGGGTGCAGTAGATCCCACCGCTGCCACCAGTTGTCACGGAGTTCCTGGGCGATGCTCTGGAACTGCTCCCCATGAAGTCAGTCAGGACTCTGGGGTAGTCGCCTTTCTGTGAGCAGCCTGTCTTCAGGACACACAGCTCACACAGCTTCCACCTTCCTGGGTCTGACCTCGGAGCATTCAGCATCCTCTGCCTCTCCGTGCGCTTCCCACAGCGAGTCCGCTCAGGCGGTGCTCCTGGGGAAGCCAGAGGGTCCTGCACCCCAACTTCGCAGTCAGACGGGACTCTCAGCCAGCCAGTAAAACAGAAGGTTTATTAGACGACAGGAACATGGTCTAAAACAGAGCTTGCAGGTGCAGAGAACGGGACCCCTCAGCTGGGTCCATTCTGGGGGGCAGTGAGCCAGACAACCACGTCTGCACTTCACTCCATGTCCCAGCCAGCCCCAAACTGAAAAACCCCTCCAGCCCCTCCTCCTCTGGGCTTTGTTCCTTTCCCGGGCCAGGAGGTCACCTGATTCCTTTGTTCTCCAACCCTTCAGCTCTCACCTTGCAGGGGGGGAAGGGCCCAGGCCATCAGTTGCCAGGAAACAGGGTGTCGGCCATTCTCTGTGTCCAGACTCCTGCACACACATGCCCTCTAGGGCACTGCAATGATCATACACCCTTACCCCACCACCTAGATACTTAAGAACTGCCTAGGGGAAACTGAGGCACCCCCCCACTATTCAGAGGAAACATTAAGAACAGTCCCACTTCGTCACACCCCTGTATTGGCCTCCCAAGGTGGGACCCCGGGAAGAATTCTGGGGGCCTGATCCTGAGCTCCCTCCTCCACCCTGTGCCCCAAATGGCACCTTCCCCCCTGCCCTCCCAGTGCCCCCACTCCTGCCCCTGAGGTGGGGTGCTGTCAGGGATGCTGAACTGCGGGCACGTGGGGGTCTCCCTCCAGCAGTGACCTGTTTCCCCATAGCTCCCACCCAGTGCTGAGGGCACCCTGCTCCTGGGGGTCCCTTCCTGGAGGATTCCCCAAGGTCTTGGCTAGTGGGTAGAGCGGCCTGGGCCGAGTTGGAGGCAGACGGTGCCCACTGCTGCTGATGGTGCCCACACAGCTGAGACGGGAGCTGGACCGATTCACCCTGGCCAGGCCCCACTGGCTCGCCCCCTCCCTCCACTCCCTGCACTGATCCTTCCCCTTTGCTCTTGCAGGTCATTACCTGTATCTGGAGGAGGACGGTGAGTGATGCCCCCCTGCACCCATCATGCCTAGGTGTCGGTCCCCCCATCAGGACTGGGGGGCTCTGCACGGCGGCACTGCGCACCACACTTCGGTTTCCATAGCACACGCGCTTCGCTCCGGCGTGGCCACAGACCCAGGCAGGAGCGGGGGGGGTGCCCGGGCTGGGCAGAGATGGGGACACTGGGCCAGGCTGCAGGGCTCCCAGCCCCGCTCCCAGCAACACCAGCTGTCGCTAGAAAGCAGCCGATGGTGCCCGGAGCTGACGGGCACTGGCTCAGCCTGGGGGCAGGCCCCAGACCCACGAGCTGCTGTCCCAGCACCGAGCCAGCAGGCTGCTAACTCTGAGGCTCATTCTCTGGGCCCCAGCCCTGCTAGGAGGCAAGGGACAACGGCACTTTTCTGGATCCACCCAGGCCAGCTCAGCCTGCCCCCAGTTGGGGGAGCTGAGTGTCTGGCCAGGCCTCTGGGATCTCGTGTCTTAGCTGGGGCTCTCAGAACAGCCTCTCCAGGGAGCCCGAGGCTGGGTTGGGCTGGGTCCGATGCAGCCGGGCCGAGGCGAGGGGCACGCTCTGGACTCCGCTGGGCTGTGGGAGGGGACGGGAGCTGCGCTGCAGGGGGCAGAGCTAGTGGAAGGAGCTGGGAAACACAGGACGGAGCTGGTTGGGGTCCTTCATTCCCCCAGCCTATGTGCCTTGTAAGGAGCTGGGGTAGAGCAGACACCAGCCTAGCAGTGCCAGGGCCTCTGCCCCGCCCAGAGCTCTGCCGCAGATCCTCCGGGGTGACTAACAGGCAGATCTCTTCCCCTAGGCCCCTTTGCTGGGGAGGGCGGGTCGGCCCACTGCAGGGACACCTACCTGGAGTGGATCTCCCTATACTGCTGGACCACCTTCCACGCCACAGTCATGGCCACGCCAGAGTGGAGCCGGTGTCAGTGGGACCAAATCAGCAGGTCTGGACGTCCGTCCGCCCCAGACAGATCCTTGCTTCTGAGGCGCTCTGGGGCTGGGAGTCGAGTGCACACAGCGCTGGGGCAAGGGCAGGTGCCGGGACAGAGCATCGCCTCGCTGGGGTTTGCTCTTAGATGGGCTCCGGGACCCCAAGGGCCCCGGCTTGGTAGCGACCCCGTGCAGAAAAGGGATTTTCAAACAAGTCAGGGCTGCAGTGTGTCCTGTTTCCCTGCACACAGCTGTCAGCACGCTGAGACCAGGGCACAACATGCAGTGCCTCTGGCGGGTGCGATGTCCTGGGTGCAGGGTGGTGTGTGCGACGCACCATCGGCTGCCTGCAGCGTCCCGCGTGCGGGGTGGGGTGGGGGTGCGACGCACCATCGGCTGCCTGCAGCGTCCCGCGTGCGGGGTGGGGTGGGGGTGCGACGCACCATCGGCTGCCTGCAGCGTCCCGCGTGCGGGGTGGGGTGGGGGTGCGACGCACCATCGGCTGCCTGTGGCACAGGCTGCGGCCGGTGGCTGCTCGGCTCCCAGCAGGTGCTGAGTGGATGCAGTTTAAGGCCCAGGAGGACCCCGCGGGTGAACGGTGCCCCCGTCACTGCCATTACCGGATGCACGGTCACTGCCTGGCTTGGGGCTTGTTTTGGCCACCTCGCTGGCTGCTGCTGAGCCCTGAAGCCCCAAACCCCACAGACCCAGCCAGGCTCAGCCTCACATCTCTTCCTCTCCCTCTCCAGGATTTACAGCGACCTCTCCAACTGCACGGTGCTGATGGCCGAGGCTCTGTCCTGCCCCTGGCCCAGCCCCGCTCTTGACTCCTTCTTCCTGCAGATCCACATGGAATATTTCACCAACTGCACCATGCCTGCCAGCTCCCAGCCCAGCCAGCCACCTCTGGGGCCTGTCCTAGCCATGGCTGCCATGGCTGCCTGCCTGACCCCTCTTGGGGTTGCTCTCACGCTCCGCAAGGCCAGGAAGGCTGAGCCAGAGCCAAAGCCAGACTGGCCCCTCCCAGCGGCACCACCTGTGCTCAGCAGACAACGGGCTTCTTCTCGTGCAGTCCTGGGCACCAACTGGAAAGGGAGAGAGAGTGTCTAGTGGTTGCGGGGGAGGGGGTGGTGCTGGGAGCCAGGACTCCTGGGTTCTATCCGTGGCTCGGGGAGGGGAGTGGGGTCTAGTGGTTAGAGGGGGTGGGGCTGGGAGCCAGGACTCCTGGGTTCTATCCCTGGCTCGGGGGGGGGAGTGGGGTCTAGTGGTTGGGGGGGGTGCTGGTGTGACGAAGTGGGAATGTTCTTAATGTTTTCTCTGAATACTGTGTGGGTGCCTCAGTTTCCCCTATACAGTTCTTAAATATCCAGGTGGTGGGATAAGGGTGTGTGATTGTGGCAGAGCCCTAGGGGGCCAGTGTGATGCTGTCTGCACAGAGAATGGCCGACATCCTGTCTCCTGTTGGCCTGGGACCCTTCTCTGCAAAGATGCCAACTGAAGGGGTTGGAGAACAAAGAGATCAGCTGGCCTGCTGGCCTGGGAAAGAGACAAAGGAGAGGAGGGGCTGGAGAGTTTCAGTTTGGAGCTGGCTGGGGAAATGGGGGGAGGCTCAGATGGGGCTCTGGCCTCCCTGACACCCAAGATGGACCTGACTGAGGGGTCCCGTTCTCTGTACCTGCAAGCTCTGTTTTAGACCATGTTCCTGTCGTTTAATAAACCTTCTGTTTTACGCTGGCTGAGAGTCACGTCTGACTGCGAAGTTGGGGGGCAGGACCCTCTGGCTTCCCCAGGACCCCGCCTGGGCGGACTCGCTGGGGGAAATGCACAGTGTGGATGGGGATGCTGAATGCTCCGAGGTCAGGCCCAGGAAGGTCGAAGTTGTGTAAGCTTCTTGCTCTGGGGAGAGGAGACTTCCCCAGAGTCCTGACTGGCTTCGTAGGGAGCAGTTCCAGAGCATCGCCCGGAGACTCCGTGAAGACTGGGAGCCAGGACTCCTGGGTTCTATCCCTGGCTCGGGGAGGGGAGTGGGGACTAGTGGTTGGGGGGTGCTTGGAGCCGGGACTCCTGGGTTTTATCCCTGGCTTGGGGAGGGGAGTGGGGTCTAGTGGTTAGAGGGGGGTGGGGCTGGGAGCCAGGACTCCTGGGTTCTATCCCTGGCTCGGGAAGGGGAATGGGGTCTAGTGGTTAGAGGGGGTGGGGCTGGGAGCCAGGACTCCTGGGTTCTATCCCTGGCTCGGGGAGGGGAGTGGGGACTAGTGGTTGGGGGGGTGCTTGGAGCCAGGACTCCTGGGTTCTATCCCTGGCTTGGGGAGGGGAGTGGGGACTAGTGGCTAGAGTGTGGGGGGCTAGGAATTCTGTTCCTAGGTCTGCTCCAGACTCCCTAAGCCCCTCCCCTTGCTGTACAGGGGCGAGCAGTGCTGCCCGGTCCTGGGGGTGGCTGGTCTGGGGAGGGGGAGTACTCGGGGCCCTGCGAGGGGCTGAGGGACAGTGGGAATGATGGTTGCTCTGCAGGCCCAGGGGTGATTAGAGGAGCTGAACCCAGACCCCTGCAGCCTTGGCCTGTCCAGAGCACTCAGCCAGTGTGGACACACCTGGAGCAGATCCCAAGTTCAGTGGGGCAGCAATCGCAGGCTCTTCCCCTCAGCAGCCTCCAGGCCCTGCTGCAGCCCTCCGCTTGCCCTGCCCTGTCTCGAATCCCCCGGGGCAGGAGTCAGGAGAACAGGCTTTGGCTGGCAGAATGTAGGGGAGAGAGGGTGAGCTCTGGAGCTGCTGCTGGGCCAGGCGGAGGAGAATCACATGAGCAAGTGACAGCATGGCCCCGTCTAAACTCCAGCACTACAGCTGACATCAGTGGGTGTTTCCTTGGCAGGGAAACTATCTGCTGAACTCCAGCCTCGGCTCCAGACAACAAAGAACAGGATCCAGGGGCTCTAACCCCGAATCCACACCGGGCAGCTTCATGCGCTGGGGCGTTATCCGTTCCAGATGCGGCTGCTTTCCAGTGAATGGCTGGGAGCTTCCCGGAACGAGGTCCTCTGGTGCTGCCCAGCGCTACTTGGCCAGTGACTCAAGGACATTTCCAGTGAAAGCCCAATGCACAGAGCGATAGGATCTTCCTCACTGCGAACCCTTTGCCCTGTAATTTACACACAGTATGGGAGACCCAGAGACTGACTTTAAAGGGGAAACGCTGGACTCAAATGCTGTCTCAGGCCACAAGTGACATGAGTTTGGTTGGTCTCAGCTCGATCCCTGCAGGAGTGCATCACAGAACTGCTGCACAGTGCGGTGTCGTTCTGAAGCGTTCACTTCTGCTTGGAGGCGCCCCGGGCTGGGATAGCAGGGGGGCTGCGGGCCAGGACGGAAGGGCGCCGGCAGAGCTGTGTATGGAGGGAGCCCCGGGCTGGGATAGCAGGGGGGCTGCGGGCCAGGACGGAGGGGCGCCGGCAGAGCTGTGTATGGAGGGAGCCCCGGGCTGGGATAGCAGGGGGGCTGCGGGCCAGGACGGAGGGGCGCCGGCAGAGCTGTGTGTGGAGGGAGCCCCGGGCTGGATAGCAGGGGGGCTGCGGGCCAGGACGGAGGGGCGCCGGCAGAGCTGTGTATGGAGGGAGCCCCGGGCTGGGATAGCAGGGGGGCTGCGGGCCAGGACGGAGGGGCGCCGGCAGAGCTGTGTGTGGAGGGAGCCCCGGGCTGGGATAGCAGGGGGGCTGCGGGCCAGGACGGAGGGGCGCCGGCAGAGCTGTGTGTGGAGGGAGCCCCGGGCTGGGATAGCAGGGGGGCTGCGGGCCAGGATGGAGGGGCGCCGGCAGAGCTGTGTGTGGAGGGAGCCCCGGGCTGGGATAGCAGGGGGGCTGCGGGCCAGGACGGAGGGGCACCGACAGAGCACATTTGTCTTCACTAAGCAGCAGTTAGCACCCCACCCCCACTTTGGTAACTTCCCTGGGAGGTCCTGGTGGCACTGTGAGGCCTCCTGGCACCCTGGGCAGGTGTCGCAGTGGTGCCCCATCTCGCTCCTTTCCACGGGGTGGTGGGGGGACTGGCTCTTCCCCAGGCTGATGGGGCGTGGGCAGGTGGTGTTTGGAAGGACTGGGCACGTTAGCCATGCCGTGCCCGCAGCCCCGCGAGTCCCACAGCCCGTCCTGGGCTAGTACACGTTCCGTGTCCGCTCCCTGGAGCCAATGGATTTCACAACCCAGCCCAGACGGGATTAAAGGGAAATATACAAGTAAACAAACAGTGGGCCTCGTAAACGCTGCTGTGCGGTCGGTGGAGGGAGCGGAGCCTCTCCCACCGGCCCCAGCTGCCAGGGGCGACATGGGGAGCCGCTGGGGGCTGGCAAAGGCTCGGTGCCCCCAAGGAGCGATGCCCAGCTGGTGGCGCACACACCTAGCAGAGCTGGGCCCGGCAGGCGGGCGGTCCTGACGGGCGTCCCGTGGGGAGGTCTGGTTTAAGGCAGCACTGAGTAATCTCATTTTTCACACGTCTTCTGTAGTCACTACCAGCCCTGTCAGAGGAAAGGAGTTTGCTTCCTGTTATTTCCGTTGAAATAGTCGTCCTGGCCGTTAGCAGGCAGGCTTTGCAGGATGGCACTTTGCAGAGAGGCCGGCTCTGGCAGGCTCTGCCCTGGGCTCCTGCTGCTGCTGCTGCTCTGGGGTAAGTGCTGGAGGCAGGCTGGGTTCGCTCCAGCTCCAGGAGTCTGGGGGTGGAGCTGGGGAGTTTGAAGCTTTGGGCCACTTGGCAAAGCAAGACCTGGCTCCAGCTTCCGCAAGCCAGACCCCTCTGGAGCTCCAGGGTACTCTGTGTGTGAGGGGGGCTCCAGAGGGGCTCATAGCTAGCAGTAACCCAGCCCCAAGGTCTAGCTCCGTAATGCACAAGAGGTCCCGGGGAAGGAACTGGCTATTGGGCTCAGAGTTACCCCTCCGCCCTGGACTGTGTGAAAGGGGGGCTTGAAGGGAGCTGTCCGCAGCCCTCACCTCAGGGATCTGAGTGGCATGGGTAATCCCTGTGTGGAGGATAAGGCTTTTGGGACCCTCCCTCCCCTGCTGGGAGCCTGGGCCCCTGGGCTCCATTCCCAGGTCTGGGCCCGGACCCTGCATCCTCGGGCAGGTCCCTGCCCTTTCTGTGGTTCAGTATCGTCGTGCATGGGACGGGACGGAGGTTGGAGTCTCGGAGGGGCAGGGGGATTGGTAGCTGGGTTTTGTGCAACACTAGTATAATGCATGTGACTGGGCCCAGGACCCTGCTCCTGCCTGGAGGGGCAGGGACATGTCTCAAGGAGACGCGGCTCCCTGGGACCTGCTGGGGCGCCCCTCGCTATTCCGCGCCCATGGGTCTTGTCAGCACTGTCATTGGCACCTGGCGAGCATTGCGTCGCCGCCGGACGGATCTCTTGGCTCAAGACCTTTGGTTCTTCCCTGCTAATTAGCAGCACAAACCTTCACGGACCTTAACGAAGCTCAGACTGGCAGAGAATTCCCAGTCAAAGCTGGAAAGGCCCCAGGACGGACGAGCCAAAGGGGCTGCATGAAATGGCTGCCCGTGGCCTGGCCTGAGAGGTGCTGGACACGTCCGTTTGGGCCCCTGCCTCTCACGGGCTGGCTGCCTCGCCCCAGGAGCCCAGAGCTGTCGCTGGGTTGGATTTGCTCCTACACGGACATGCTGACGAGAGCAAGAAGAGCCGATTGCTGTGAGATCCTGCAAATGCAGGAACAGATGGAAAGACAGAAAGGGGACAGCCCCACAGACCAGCCCCCCACCCCACTGAGCCCTGGACTAGACCCCAGCCCCACTGAGCCACAGAGCAGCCCCTAGCCCCGCTGAACCATGGGCCACTCCCCCAGTCCCCCTGTGTCATGGACCAGCCCCCCAACCCCCCTGAACCCCAGACCAGCCCCACAGCCCAGCCTCCAGCCCTGCTGTGCCATGGCCAGCCTCATTGTGCCACAGAACAGCCCCCAAAACCCCAGCAAATCCCAGACCAAGCTCCAGCCCCACTGAGCCATCGCCCAGCCCCACTGAGCCCCGGGCCAGTCCCCAGCCCTGCCATGCCACAGACCAGAGGCCCTCCTTTTGCTGTCTGTGAACCCCTGGCCAGACTCTCATCTTGCCCTGGGGACGAGCTGGGGTGACTCCAGGTTCTCTGTGGGGGTCACCACGTTCCCAGTCTGGCCCCAAGGGGTGTGGATGTCATCAGCACTGGGTGCCACAGGCTCGCAGAGCCCCTCTGAGTCACGGTATTTATTGCCCTGCCCAAGGACATGGACCCCGCCCCACAGTCCCTGTCCCAGTTGAGAACGGGTGAGGGAGGGGGAGCAGTTGGGAAATTGAGGGGGGCCCAAGGAGGAGCCAAGCAGGTCGGCCTACAGAGTGAAGTCTCCTGTTCGGGGTCCCAGACCCTTAGCACCCTCAGTGAAGCCCCCTCCCGCAACGCCACAGGGACTCAGACCCCCAGCCACAGCCAGCCCTATGGAAGCCGGCTACCAAACGGGTCACTGGGGCCGTCTATAAATCGTCCAAGCTGGGGTGGGGGTGGAACTTCTGGGGCAGTGAGATGGGCTGCACCAGGCCCCGCCCCACTCCCCAACCCCGGACCAAGGCGGAGGCTCATCTGCCTAACGCCACGGCAGCTGGCCCCAGAGGAGGCACTGATGGGGCAATGCGTGGGGAGCTGGCAGCCCGGGCAGAGAGCAGAAGGGCAGGGCCACTGAGCCCTCTGCAGTGGGGCGGGGTGGTCCCCGCCTGGGGAGCTGGGCTAACCCATGTGCAAAGAGGAGAGGCGCTGGCGGGAGGCGCCGTGTGGGGCTGGAGCTTCTCCGCCCTGCCGGTGGCTCCAGCCTGCACCCCCTTTGCTTCCCCTTTCTGCTCCCACGCCCACCCCTGCTGCAGCTGCCTGCTTGGGCTGCGGGCGCGTGGCGGGTGCTCGGGGCAGCGCTCTGACAGGGCCTGGGGAGACCTCACGCTGTTCCTTCTGGCCCCGCCGCCCGGCCTGGCCACGAGTGAGACGCAGGCCCCGGGTGTGCTGGGCTGAGCGATGGAGACGCTGTGGGTGGGAGGGCTTGGAGCCAGGGGGTGATGGGCTCAGGCCTGCCTCTAGCCCACACGAACCACCCCAGCGCTGCCCCTTCTCGGGCATCTCCTCTAGAATCAAAATCCCCCCCTCGCGCCCCAGGGACCGGCCAAGGGATGTCACTGCCCCCCATGAGCCCCAGTTCGGGGCAGGGCACCGGGCCGGGCAGCAGCATACCCGCGGGCCGTGTCTCACTGACGTGTCCCCCTCCTCCAGCGGCTCTCGGGAGCGAGCTCCATCCCGCAGGCACCACCATGTCGGGAGACAACGAGTCTCTGGCTGAGCTCCAGAACCAGACGGCGACCGAGCCTGAGCAGCCGTACAAGAGCCTGCTCCTCAACATGACTGCGGGTGAGTGCCCGGAGCGCCTGTCCATGGGCAGGGCAGTGAGGACAGAGCCTGCCGTGCCAGGACCAAGCCGGGACTCAAGGGATCCCGCCCCTGCCGCTGGCTAGCAAGTCTCCACCCGGCACCCGTCTCCCTTTGTCAACGAATGGGCAGCGCAGCCGGGCCATCGCCCCGGGCGTCTCCCGGCTCCGTCAGGGCTGACAGGGGCTGGGGAGACCCGGGCACCACTGACCCGTGTCGTCTCCATGGCCTGTGTGTCCTGCCCCACCCTGCAGGCCTGAGAGCTCCCAGGGAGGAGACTCTAGAAGGGCAGGGCCCTTCCTGAGGAAATTGGTGCCCTGCACGTGGCACCTGGAGACAGCAGGGATGGGCATAGTAACATGCCCTGAGAATGCCAGGTCCCCGGGGCTCACAGGCGCTGCTGATCCCCTCCAGCCCTCGTAGGCCCCCTCCCCAGCCTCAAGGCCTTTGGTTCTTCCCTGCTAATTAGCGGCACAAACCTTCACGGACCTTAACGAAGCTCAGACTGGCAGAGAATTCCCAGTCAAAGCTGGAAAGGCCCCAGGACGGACGAGCCAAAGGGGCTGCGTGAAACGGCTGCCCGTGGCCTGGCCTGAGAGGTGCTGGAGACATGTCCGTTAGGGCCTGTGACGATGTGACTCAGCAGGGAGGGGGGAGTGTTGACCTGGGAATGTGCCCTGGGGATGGGAGACCCGAGAGCCTGTCACCTGAGCAGTTGTCACGGAGTGTGGGGGAGTCCAGGCCCTGCCCCCCTCTTCCTGGGATCCACTGAGACTCTCAGCCAGCCAGTAAAACAGAAGGTTTATTGGACAACAGGAACACAGTCCACAACAGAGCTTGTGGGTACACCCAGGACCCCTCAGTCAAGTCCTGGGGGAGCAGGGAGCTTAGACCCCAGCCCCGGGGTTCCCTGTGTTCCTCCACCCAGCTCCAAACTGAAAACTAAACCCTCCCAGCAGGTTCCCTGCTGCAGCCTCCGTCCACATTCCTGGGCAGAGGTGTCACCTCCCCCTCCTCCACCTGGCTCAGGTGACAGGCTCTCAGGTCTCCCATCCCCAGGGCACATTCCCAGGTCAACACTCCCCCCTCCCTGCTGAGTCACATCCTCACAGGGCCCCTGCATCTCACCGGCTGGCTGCCTCGCCCCAGGAGCCCAGAGCTGTCCCTGGGTTGGATTTGCTCCTACAGGGACATGCTGACGGGAGCAAGAAGAGCCGATTGCTGTGAGATCCTGCAAATCCAGGAACAGATGGAAAGACAGCAAGGGGCCAGGTCCCAGCCCTGAGCCCTGGACTAGCCCCCAGCCCCACTGAGTCACAGAGCAGCCCCCAGCCCCGCTGAACCATGGATCAGCCCCCAGCCCTGTTGAGCCCCAGCCCAGCCCCACAGCCCAGCCCCCAGCCCTGCTGTGCCATGGACCAGCCCCACTGAGCCCTGGACCAGCCCCATTGTGCCACAGAACAACCCGCCCCGCCCCAGCAAATCCCAGACCAACCTCCAGCCCCACTGAGCCATCGCCCAGCCCCACTGAGCCCTGGACCAGTCCCCAGCCCTGCCATGCCACAAACCAGAGGCCCTCCTTTTGCTGTCTGTAAACCCCTGGCCAGACTCTCATCTTGCCCTGGGGACGAGCTGGGGTGACTCCAGGTTCTCTGTGGGGGTCACCACGTTCCCAGTCTGGCCCCAAGGGGTGTGGGTGTCATCAGCACTGGGTGTCACAGGCTCGCAGAGCCCCTCTGAGTCATGGTATTTATTGCCCTGCCCAAGGACATGGATCCCGCCCCACAGTCCCTGTCCCAGTTGAGAACGGGTGAGGGAGGGGGAGCAGTTGGGAAATTGAGGGGGGTCCAAGGAGGAGCCAAGCAGGTCGGCCTACAGAGTGAAGTCTCCTGTTCGGGGTCCCAGACCCTTAGCACCCTCAGTGAAGCCCCCTCCCGCAACGCCACAGGGACTCAGAGACCCCCAGCCACAGCCAGCCCTATGGAAGCCGGCTACCAAACGGGTCACTGGGGCCGTCTATAAATCGTCCAAGCTGGGGTGGGGGTGGAACTTCTGGGGCAGTGAGATGGGCTGCACCAGGCCCCGCCCCACTCCCCAACCCCGGACCAAGGGGGAGGCTCATCTGCCTAACGCCACGGCAGCTGGCCCCAGAGGAGGCACTGATGGGGCAATGCGTGGGGAGCTGGCAGCCCGGGCAGAGAGCAGAAGGGCAGGGCCACTGAGCCCTCTGCAGTGGGGCGGGGTGGTCCCCGCCTGGGGAGCTGGGCTAACCCATGTGCAAAGAGGAGAGGCGCTGGCGGGAGGCGCCGTGTGGGGCTGGAGCTTCTCCGCCCTGCCGGTGGCTCCAGCCTGCACCCCCTTTGCTTCCCCTTTCTGCTCCCACGCCCACCCCTGCTGCAGCTGCCTGCTTGGGCTGCGGGCGCGTGGCGGGTGCTCGGGGCAGCGCTCTGACAGGGCCTGGGGAGACCTCACGCTGTTCCTTCTGGCCCCGCCGCCCGGCCTGGCCACGAGTGAGACGCAGGCCCCGGGTGTGCTGGGCTGAGCGATGGAGACGCTGTGGGTGGGAGGGCTTGGAGCCAGGGGGTGACGGGCTCAGGCCTGCCTCTAGCCCACACGAACCACCCCAGCGCTGCCCCTTCTCGGGCATCTCCTCTAGAATCAAAATCCCCCCCTCGCGCCCCAGGGACCGGCCAAGGGATGTCACTGCCCCCCATGAGCCCCAGTTCGGGGCAGGGCACCGGGCCGGGCAGCAGCATACCCGCGGGCCGTGTCTCACTGATGTGTCCCCCTCCTCCAGCGGCTCTCGGGAGCGAGCTCCATCCCGCAGGCACCACCACGTCGGGAGACAACGAGTCTCTGGCTGAGCTCCAGAACCAGACGGCGACCGAGCCTGAGCAGCCGTACAAGAGCCTGCTCCTCAACATGACTGCGGGTGAGTGCCCGGAGCGCCCGGCCGTGGGCAGGGCAGTGAGGACAGAGCCTGCCGTGCCAGGACCAAGCCGGGACTCAAGGGATCCCGCCCCTGCCGCTGGCTAGCAAGTCTCCACCCGGCACCCGTCTCCCTTTGTCAACGAATGGGCAGCGCAGCCGGGCCACCGCCCCGGGCGTCTCCCGGCTCCGTCAGGGCTGGCAGGGGCTGGGGAGACCCGGGCACCACTGACCCGTGTCGTCTCCATGGCCTGTGTGTCCTGCCCCACCCTGCAGGCCTGAGAGCTCCCAGGGAGGAGACTCTAGAAGGGCAGGGCCCTTCCTGAGGAAATTGGTGCCCTGCACGTGGCACCTGGAGACAGCAGGGATGGGCATAGTAACATGCCCTGTGAATGCCAGGTCCCCGGGGCTCACAGGCGCTGCTGAACCCCTCCAGCCCTTGCAGGCCCCCTCCCCAGCCCACCGCCTGGTGCCATCCTGCCAGTCTCTCAGGCTGGGGCTTTGCCACTGGGCAAGGGCCATACTGCACCCGCCCTGCACCGTGGCCCACCCTCAGCCCTGACTGCATAGAGAGCCTCAAGCTGCCTGCAGTGACTCAGGACTGCGAGCACCAGCCTCAGGGCAGCCTGTTCGGAAGCGGGGCACCAGCCCCGGAGTGGTTGAGCTCCATGCTTCGATCTCCCCAGCCTGCTATCCGGTGTGCATTCCTCCAGCACCATCGCAGCCTTAATGGGGAGTCACAGTCCCTGGGATACCCTTTGTCTGGCCACCCAGGGGAGCCTGGCTGTATGAGAGATGATCCCTTGCACCAAGAATCACAGGAATATTCAGGTTTCAGAGTAGCAGCCGTGTTAGTCTGTATCCGCAAAAAGAAAAGGAGGACTTGTGGCACCTTAGAGACTAACCAATTTATTTGAGCATAAGCTTTCGTGAGCTACAGCTCACTTCATCGGATGCATGCAGTGGAAAATACAGTGGGGAGATTTTATATTCACAGAGAACATTTTCCACTGCATGCATCCGATGAAGTGAGCTGTAGCTCACGAAAGCTTATGCTCAAATAAACTTGTTAGTCTCTAAGGTGCCACAAGCAACATTCAGGTCACTTACCACCTCAGATCTCACACCAAGGACAACGCTTGTAGCCAATCCGATAATAAACTACATAAAGTAGTTCTTATAACTAGGAGAAAGGAAACGAGAGTTATTCACGAGGCTAAAGCAGGTAAACACACATGCACAAGCTTATGTTTCAAAAAGTAATAGAAGCTTCTATAATAAGCAAACTCTGTATGTCCTTTAGGACTAATCCAGGCTAAACAGCTGGGGAAGCCTGTGGTTCTGCCTAGAAAACTTGCCCCCAGAGTCCAAGCAGCATGGAAATCCAGTTCCTTCTTGTAAGGGTCTTTTATTCCCCTCTTCCCCTGTGCTCTGAGCTGCAAACTCAGCTGATGGGAGGAATCCACTTGTACGATTCATCTCCATGGCGGGGCAAGAGCAGAGTCACAAAGTCATCTGTCCTCTTCAACATCCCACAATAGTGTGTCTGGTGTCACTGGGCAGAATGTAACACCCATGCTGCACATCAGCACTCTGCACTAGTGAAAGTCTCTCTCCTGACTGGGCATTTACACAGTCAGAGTGGCTCTCCATACAGCCACTCAGCTATTCCCTTACAGACGTATGTGAGATCAGTGCCAGCAGCTGCTCACGAGCATCCAATAAACACAAAACCCATTCTTACAGCTCTGCTACCTACTTTAACACCACGAACACACAGGGGAGCCAGCCTGAGCCCTGCTGTGTATTTGTCAGTGGTCAGTTGAGACATGGGAACTTGGCATGAGCTGCCACCTGGCCTGCCAGCGTCACAGAGGGGCCCCTAGAGCCACCCCTGCTGGGAGTTGGTGTGCAAGCAATGGGGAGGGATAGCTGGGAAGGGGACTCCAGGCTTGGGCTGGGGGGAAGCTGCTTGAATCAGTCAGAGACCAGCCTTGCCAGCTTTGTCCTTGTTGCTGCCTGTCCCAAGGGGTGGACCTGTACCCAGCGGGTAGCACTTGGCTCCCAGGCCTGAGCAAGCTGCCAAGAGCTCTGGTTTTCTTCTTTCCAGATGAAAAGTACAATCTGATAGCCTACATGTGCTGGGACAATTTCAGTCACTGGATGATGAACATAACCAGGGCGCAGCTGTGCGAATGGAGAGTCATCAGCAGGTACTGCAGGGGCTGGGGGATTGATCAGCCCCAGGCATGAAGCCACACTGTGGAGTTTGTTCATTGGCTCCCGGCAGAGCCCTTTCCACCATGCACCAGCCTGTGAGCTGCAGAGAGCGACGACCAGCCCAGCAGAGACGCGGGGGGCAAAGCACACAGGGCTCTCAGACCCAGGAGGCTGGGAACCCAGCAGAGGGCAGTTGCCTCTGGGTGATGCGATGGGGGGTGGCAGGTGTCACGGAGTCCCCGGGCGATGCTCTGGAACTGCTCCCCATGAAGCCACAGGACACACAGCTCACACAGCTTCCACCTTCCTGGGTCTGACCTCGGAGCATTCAGCATCCTCTGCCCCTCCGTGCGCTTCCCACAGCCAGTCCGCTCAAGCGGGGTCCTGGGGCAGCCAGAGGGTCCTGCCCCCCAACTCCGCAGTCAGATGTGGCTCTCAGCCAGCCAGTAAAACAGAAGGTTTATTAGACGATGGGAACATGGTCTAAAACAGACCTTGCAGGTGCAGAGAAGGGGACCCCTCAGCTGGGTCCACTTTGGGGGACAGTGAGCTAGACAACCATGTCTGCCCTTCACTCCATGTCCCAGCCAGCCCCAAATTGAAACGCCCTCCAGCCCCACCTCCTCTGGGCTTTGTTCCTTTCCCGGGCCAGGAGGTCACCTGATTCCTTTGTTCTCCAACCCTTTAGCTCTCACCCTGCAGGGGGGAAGGGCCCAGGCCATCAGGTGCCAGGAAACAGGGTGTTGGCCATTCTCTGTGTCCAGACCCCTGCACACACCTGCCCTCTAGGGATCTGCAATGATCATACACCCTTACCCCACCACCTAGAGACTTAAGAACTGCATAGGGGAAACTGAGGCACCCCCACACTATTCAGAAGAAACATTAAGAACAGTCCCACATCGTCACAGCAGGGGTGTGCATCCTACTGGCTGTACCGGGGCCCCACTGATCCTGACACCCATCTGGGGCTGGGCGGAGCACGGGGATTGTTTTCTGCAGGGAACACTGAATGAAAGGAAAAGGCTTGTTTTGTTCCCAATTTCCGATGCACCGACTCTAACCGAGCGGAACTGTTAGTCTCCAGCCGTATAGCCACCGGGACGTGCCAAAAGGGCATGAGGTGTTTGGGGAACAGGCCCGGCTGGTTTGAATAGCCCAAAATCCCCAGCAGCTCCAGCCGAGCAGCCCGAGGGTCCAAGGTGCTGGAGCCTCTTTCCCCAGGCTGGGGCCAGCTGCCCTGCCTTCTGCCTGGCACCTGTGACCCGCTGGCCGCTTGTACCTGTGAGTTCGCCGAGCCGGGTGTGTTCATGGACACTGATTTCCAGAGCCGTGTGGAGCACCTCGCTCCACAGAGTAGGGGTGAGGAAGGGGGGTGGGATGGGGACCAGGAGGGTTGGGATGGGGATGGAGAGGGTCAGGATGGGAGGGGGGGTGGGGAGGGGAGGTTGGGATGGCAAGAAGGGGGACTCCACCTGGCAGGCAAAGCTGAAACACGGGGTGGGTATCCTTGTAGCGAGTTCCCAAGGCGGGCAGAGCTTCTGCTGAGCCTGCCTCCCAACAGGGCCAGCCACAGTGGAGCCCCGAGCAGTCAGCTCTGAGCTGCTCCCCAGGGGCCTGCTGGCCCCCGGCCCGGCCTGCTGAGGAACCCAGCCAACCTGCTACTTCGCTCCGGCCTGGCCTGGCGTCCGCGGGGCCTGTGGGGAGCTGGGCATGGCTGAAGAATGCGGCACTTGCATGTTGTCACGGAGTCCCTGAGCGATGCTCTGGAACTGCTCCCCATGAAGCCAGTCAGGACTCTGGGGCAGTCGCCTTTCTGTGAGCAGCCTGTCTTCAGGACACGCAGCTCACACAGCTTCCACCTTCCTGGGTCTGACCTCGGAGCATTCAGCATCCTCTGCCCCTCCGTGCGCTTCCCACAGCGAGTCCGCTCAGGCGGGGCTCCTGGGGAAGCCAGAGGGTCCTGCACCCCAACTTCGCAGTCAGACGTGACTCTCAGCCAGCCAGTAACACAGAAGGTTTATTAGATGACAGGAACATGGTCTAAAACAGAGCTTGCAGGTGCAGAGAACGGGACCCCTCAGCTGGGTCCATTTTGGGGGGCAGTGAGCCAGACAACCACGTCTGCACTTCACTCCATGTCCCAGCCAGCCCCAAACTGAAACTCCCCTCCAGCCCCTCCTCCTCTGGGCTTTGTTCCTTTCCCGGGCCAGGTGGTCACCTGATTCCTTTGTTCTCCAACCCTTTAGCTCTCACCTTGCAGGGGGGGAAGGGCCCAGGCCATCAGTTGCCAGGAAACAGGGTGTCGGCCATTCTCTGTGTCCAGACTCCTGCACACACATGCCCTCTAGGGCTCTGCAATGATCATACACCCTTACCCCACCCCCTAGATACTTAAGAACTGCCTAGGGGAAACTGAGGCACCCCCACACTATTCAGAGGAAACATTAAGAATAGTCCCACTTCGTCACATCTCTCCCCCCTTCGAGATCGAACTGAGCGGGGTCACTTTAGCCGGTGACCTGGGGAAGTTCGAAGCCACCAACGTTCCCATGGATGCCCCAGCATCTCTCCCATTCCTTGGTAGGAGTTACACCAGGCCCTTCCATTTTCACACCCTCCCTTAGGTCAGGGGTGGTCGATAGCACTCGCAGGCCGCATGTGGGAAGGTTTATGCAGCCCATGCCCTTTGGCCACCCCAAGAATGTCTCCCCATTGACCATCACCTTCTGCTCCCACTGGAGGTCCGAGGGGCCTGGCCCCAGGAAACTCCACACAGACATATAGGTTGGGGTCAGGAGTGGGAGCCTGTCCACATCCCCAACCATCTGGCTGACGGAGTCTATGGCCTTGGGACCCAGCAAGGGAGCTAGACACCGGGGCTTTTCCGCAGGGTCCCCTTGGTTCAAATCGCCAGCCTGCTCAAAGGCAGTGAGGTGGGCATCCACACCCCCCCCCCTCCTTAACCAGGGGCAGCAATTTAGTCTCGAGGTTCCCTGCGGAACTGGCCCCCCGGGATCTATCCCCACTCACCCCGGGGAGGTCCCCTAGGCCTCTCCGCTCCCCCACCGCCAGTTCATGCTGCTGCTGCTTCTGCAGCTCTTTCTCGGGCTCTCGCTGTCCCCCACAGTCCTCTTGCTCTCTCAGACTCAGCTCCAATCCCGTCCGTCTCGATCCCCCGATGGGGAACCTGATCGTGAAGACCCTCGTCTGGTCGGGGACAGGAGTCTTGGCGATGCCTGGCTCCCGCTCCAGCTGCTCCCAGATCCTGCTATAGCCCCAGTTGGGGTCAGGAATCTGTTCCTTAGAGCGGTCATCCTCCTCCAGCTGCACGATTAACTCTGCTTTGGTGAACTTTCCAACGCTCAGCCCTCTCTTTCTGCACAGGGTTACAATGTCCTTCTTAAGGAGACAGTGACAGGCCATCACTCCGCTCCTCCCAAGTTGTTGTGGACTCACAGGCCCGTGTGTTCTCAGCTCCCCACGGTTTCCAGGGAGAACCCCTAGTGTGCCAGCCCTTCTCGAGGTCACCACCTCTTTGCCAGGGTTGAGCTGCAGACTCTTCCGCCCCTTGGACTGCTCGCTGCAATCCCCAGGGGAACCCTGTTACTGCAAAAGTCCTTCTCTCTCCCCGGGCCAAGCTGCAGGCTCCTCCGCCCCTGAGACTGCTCACTGCAGTCCCCAGGGGGACCCCATTACTGCACAGTACTTCTCGCTGGTCACACACTCCCAGGGGTTAACCGCCCCCCGAAACCGCTCCTCTCTGAGCCTTCAGCAGGCCTGGTCCTCGGCAATCCCCCTTCGTGTTACTGCTCCCCAGTCACTTACTGCAGGAAGCGCCATCCACGGGGTGCAGTACATCCCACCGCTGCCACCAGTTGACACGGAGTCCCTGAGCGATGCTCTGGAACTGCTCCCCATGAAGCCAGTCAGGACTCTGGGGCAGTCGCCTTTCTGTGAGCAGCCTGTCTTCAGGACACGCAGCTCACACAGCTTCCACCTTCCTGGGTCTGACCTCGGAGCATTCAGCATCCTCTGCCCCTCCGTGCGCTTCCCACAGCGAGTCCGCTCAGGCGGGGCTCCTGGGGAAGCCAGAGGGTCCTGCACCCCAACTTCGCAGTCAGACGTGACTCTCAGCCAGCCAGTAACACAGAAGGTTTATTAGATGACAGGAACATGGTCTAAAACAGAGCTTGCAGGTGCAGAGAACGGGACCCCTCAGCTGGGTCCATTTTGGGGGGCAGTGAGCCAGACAACCACGTCTGCACTTCACTCCATGTCCCAGCCAGCCCCAAACTGAAACTCCCCTCCAGCCCCTCCTCCTCTGGGCTTTGTTCCTTTCCCCGGGCCAGGTGGTCACCTGATTCCTTTGTTCTCCAACCCTTTAGCTCTCACCTTGCAGGGGGGAAGGGCCCAGGCCATCAGTTGCCAGGAAACAGGGTGTCGGCCATTCTCTGTGTCCAGACTCCTGCACACACATGCCCTCTAGGGCTCTGCAATGATCATACACCCTTACCCCACCCCCTAGATACTTAAGAACTGCCTAGGGGAAACTGAGGCACCCCCACACTATTCAGAGGAAACATTAAGAATAGTCCCACTTCGTCACACATGTTGCCTGCCTCCTGCTGCCCCCCAGCTCCTCTCCAGCCCCCCGGCACGCTGCCATGGCACAGCCTGAAGGCGCGTGCCTGGCTTTGTGCATCCCCTGTGGCTTGTGAGCAGGGCTGGGGTGGGGTTCTAGTGGGCAAGGAACCACACCGGGACTCAGGGGTCCTGGGTTAACTCCCAGCTCCGCTGCATGACCTTGGGCAAGGCACAGCCCTTCACGTGCCTCCGTTTCCCCATCTGTAAAAGGGGGCTAATGAGGCTGCCTCCTTTAGGCAGCTCAGTGGGCGAGAGGAGACAGGCTCTAGTATTATTAGGCACCCACCCTGCCCAGCCAGCCCCCCGCAGTACGACCCAACAGGCGAGTCAGGGAGCCTCACACATGAGAATGGATGGGCCCAGGTCCCTGCTGCCTGGACCTGGGTTCCCCATTTCCACCCACGCAGAGCACCGGCAAAGAGCCGCCAGAGCACGCAGCAGCGTCCCGCCCATGTTGCCGGGTGCCCACGGCTGTGTGAGGTGAAGGGTAGCGGGCAGTTGGGAACGAGGCAGTTGTAAGCTGGGGGCAGGACTCCTCCAGGGGGAGGCCCCTTTATCCCGCTCCGGCAGGGCAAAGCAGCCAGCATGGCGGAAAGGGACCGTCCTGGCACGGTGAGCCGACCCGGCTCCTCAGCTGCGGTTCTTGCTGGTCCACAGCCAGTTTGCGGCACCAGATAACGCCTCGGTCCCGAAGGAAACTCCCCAGCTTGTCCCCTCTCCCCCCGCAGGCCATACAGCGACCTCCGCCACTGCCTGGAGACCTTCGCAGAAAAACAGAATTACGGCTACCCCAACAGCATCGCGGAGGAATGCATCGTCCAGAGCCACCGCACCTACTTCCTGAACTGCACCCAGGAGCACCCCGTGTTCCTCGACCCCCCGGAGGATGTGCTGCTGGCCCTCATCCTCGCCCCCATCTGCCTCATCCCTTTCCTGGTCACACTGGTGGTGTGGAGGAGCAAGGACGGCAAGATGCAGTCCTGAGCACCACAGGGCTCGGAGGGTGCTGGAGGCATCCCCAGTGTGTTAGAGAACCAGACCGGGCTCGAACTTCTGACCCAACCTGACCTTGTCCCCCGGGAGCCAGCGCCAGGCCTTTGCCTGCTGGCTGAGCTCCAGCGCCGGAGAGTTGGGAGACCCGAGTGCTCCACTCCTACCCCTGCAGCACTCGCTTCCGGCTGCCACTGGAACCACTGCCCTGCTCCCGCCGCTTCCAACCTGGCCACAAGCAGGAGCTGGCAGAGGCCCCGTCTTACAGGCCCGACTGCCAGGCCAGGCCCAACAGTTCGGAGACATTCGGAGAGCCAGCCCAGAGCGGCCCCCTCCGAGCGCCTGGAGCATCCTCTATCTCTGGCTGAACACCCAGGGTTTGTACCACGCTGGGCCTGCTCAAATGCGGTTACAGCTCTGGGCTTCCAATCCCAGGCCTGCTAGACCTCGCCGACGCTGGCGGGGCAGGAGGGGAGAGCCCCGTGGGCGACTCTGCTCTGGATCTCACGCCTGCGTAGCCCCCTGCTGGGGTCCCACTCGCAGCTCCCCACAGCTTAACAAGTGCAAACCCCTTCCAGGACAAGGGCTCTGCTGAGTCCCAGCTGCCCCAGTGCCCTGGGGAGGACGCCCTCCTGTCGGTCCCTGATCTGCACTGAGCAGCTGGCGAGGGAAGCCCCGGGTGGACTGATTTACAGAGTGGCCGCAGTTCCATGCGAAGAGGGGCCAGATGTACCCGGACGCGCCCACATCCTCTGGAGAAACCCCCTCTCCTCACACGGCCGCTTTGCCTGCTAGGCCCCGCCAGCAAGAAAAGGTTGCTGTGCTCGGGCTGGCGTCATGGGTGCATGAAGGGGGCCCCTCGCCTTGCATTGCTGAGAAAGCCTTGTGTTTCGGGACAGGATGTCGTGCCAGAGCAGCAGGTTTCCCCACCCTGTTTATGGGGCTCTGATGCCTGGGGCAGGCTCCCTCGCCATGTGACACCGGAGGCTGCGTTACGGGCTTTTTCTGATCCCCTTTGCAAACAGGCTCCCTGGTTAACCAGCTGGAGATTAAAGATCTTCCCTTCCTGAGCCCTGGGCGCGTCCTTTGGCCGTTCGGTTTCTTGCCTTGGCTCCTGCAGACACGTGGGAATTAGAGATAGACCCCAGCCCTTCCCCCCCATACCAGCTGGGCAGTGCCCCCCTTGGCGCACTGTGCCACAGTCCCATTGGGAGTTGGGTGGAACTTGATTCTGTCTCCCCTTCAATTTGTGGTACTGAGCAGGGACTTGGGGCCTGTCATAGGATCCTCCAGGACCAGTTGGTGGCTTACAGGCCTCTTGGCCCATGGCACGTTGCTGGGTGACATGTAGACCCTGCGGTTCCCTCTTTTGGATAATGACACTGAGTCCAGCGACCTGCCCGGTGAGCTGCCAATGACCTCGTCATGCAGGGGGACTCCCTGATTGCCTTGGCCTGGGTCCCTCAAACCAAGCAGCACTGGGGAAGCGCTAGGGAACAGGGTCCCCTTCCATCAGGGCTGGAGCAAGGCAGACTCCGGGGTCAGGGTGGGACCAGGTTCCCTTGGAGCAGTGCAGGGAGCAGGGCACTGGGGCTAGGAGAGAATCGGTGCTGGCTGAGGGCTGCACAGGTTACTTGTGGGCAGATCTGTGTTTGGCAAGTCTGTGGCAATCGCTGTGTGTGTGCTTGTGCGCGCCTGGCGACTGCGAGCCTGCGTGTGTATCTGGGGAGGCCCAGCCTGCCGGTGGCTGCTCTGTAGCTGGCTCTCCCGTCTGGGGATCCGTGCCTGGTAGCCCAGACCCGGCCTCTTCTCTCCTGCCAGCCCTGCTGCTCTTCCTGGTCTAGTCACTGGGTGGCCTACGCCCTGAAAAGGCCCCTGGTTTAAATGTCAATACCTCCTCCAGCAGAGCATGGGACGTGTGGCTTAGCAGGCCCCTCCTGTCCGCCTGGGTTGCTGCCAGTCTGGGTGGCACCCGAAGCCGGGGGGGGGGAGGGCGAGGAGGGAGCCCCTCTGCAGCAGCCCTTCGTGCTCAGATCCAGACCGAGAGTCAGTCCCATTCCAGTGCGCAGCCTGGCCCCAGTTTGCCATGGGCCCTCGAACGTGGGGATGGTGGCTCCAGGCAGGCATGTCACGGAGCCTGGGAAGCACCCACGGGGGTCCTGCCCCAGCTGGGCCCCTTATCTGCCTGCATCCACCCGGTGAGGTGGGGTGCGCCCACAGTCAGCTCCCTCCTGGGTTGGGCCCCACGTCACTCCCTTTGTGGAGCCAGGAGGTAGCTCGTTCTGGCTAGGGTCGGTGTGTAGGGTGGCCATGACTCCCTGGCTTTGTTCCCTAATGCTCCCAGCCTCACCAGGCTCCCAGCCCTCTCACTTAGTGTCTGGGCTCGGGCAACCCTTGACCAGGAGTCGCTCTCGAGGGCTCTGGATGGGCACCAGGCCTCCCTCCTGCCCAGCAAGGCAGCAGTGCGTGTGCAGGAGGGAGGTGAGGCTGCCTCTGCCGTTCCCTTTCCTGCCCGGAGAGTCGGGGAACAAAGCCCCCGAGGCCCACTCCGCTGGCTCCTTCCTTCCTCCTCTCGTCCACCGGCCACTCCCTCGCAGTGAACGGAAAACACGACACTGGGAGCTGGCCAGGTCTCTGCAGCTCCCAGGAACGCCCTATGCTGTGACCTTTGGGAGAGCCCCTGCTTAGCTGACAGCTGGGGCCCAACGTAGCCTCAGAATGAGCCCTTGGGCAGGGGAAGGGGGAAGGACCCCAGTGGGCATTTCCAGAGGGCCCTCAACAGCTCTGCCGCCCAGCAGTCAGGGCAGAGTCTGCCACAGGGGATGGAGGCTCTCCAGGCTGGGCCCAGCCTGTGGCACCCCCTGTCCCGAGAGCAGGGTTCCCTGCTGGCACCTGGCTCCTCCCAGAGCCTCGGGCCAAGGTGATGAGGGGAGTAAATGCCGCTGCTGTCAACCCTTGTGCATGTAGCTCGCTCTGGGGTGTGCAGGCCTGCAGCGATGGCAGGGTGCAGGGGCCCAGAGAGGGCAGAACGGGCCAGGTACTGGTGTTCTGCCCTCCTCATCGGGCACATGGATTCCCCCACCCCGAGGGAACCCGGGGTCCATGCCCACGTGGCCACTGCACTGAGGACAGGGACAGGCTCCAGCTCCCAGGCAGCTGGTGGCAGCTGCAGCCCAGATGGAACATTTGGGGAGTCGCTGCTCGCCGCAGTGCCTCAGCCCAGCCCAGCCCCGGCCCTCAGACAGTGCCACGCACAGGTCAGTCACCTCACCCCCACCCCGTCTGCCAATGCGCCAGGCTCTGGCTGGGAGGGCAACGCTGCCCCCTAGTGACCAGTGCACCCCAGTGCTACCACCTGTCCCTGATGGGAGAGAGCAGCTCCCTGGATTCCTGTCCCTCCTGTACTCCCCATCCCAGGGGTGATCTGGAGGCCTGGTGGTGGCAGGAAAGGAGCCAGGTGGCAGGGAGAGGGCTGAGAGGCACCAGAGGCATGGAGCTGTGAGCACCAGAGGCTGTGGGGAAGAAGCAGGGTGACTCTGGAACCACCCAGGGGAATCCTAGGCCTTTGGGGCACCCGGTCCGGGATGAGGCCTCGCTGGGATGGACATGCCCAGTGCTGGGAGCGTGGGGACTCGGCCCATTCCAAGCACCTGGAGGGGCCATCCCTCCCAATGCCAGTCACTGAGAGCAGCAGGTTCCCCTCCCGCAGGGCACCAGGGGACTCTGTGAGAGGGAATGAAGCAGGTGTGGCTTCATGAGAGGAAGGCTAGGAAGGAATGGTGAACAGGCGAGGGGCCCAAAGGCACCTGGATGGGTGTGGGCAGAGCTGGCGGGATCAGTTTGAAAAGTGCCCACCCGTGACCCTGCCATTCCTCCTCCCCATGATGGCAGCTGTCCCGTCACGTGGGATAGGGCAGTTAGACAGAGAGACAGTAAACACCCAATAGAGAACAGTCTGCCAGTGGCCCAAGAATGGAACTGCTGTGCGGCTGGGCACGTAGGCCCCAGCCCTGTCCCTGCAGCCAGGCCTCTGGGATGGGGCTGGGAGCTGCTGCAGCTGCATTTCCAGCCTGGCCAGGACGAGAGAAAAAACTGAAATCTGATGAGAAACCCTCTTCCCAGGATATTCACAAGCTGGTTTCTAACCCCAAGATGCTTGTCAGCTCACTGATGTGCCAGGCTCCAGCTGCCTCTCCCAAGTTATGAGACTGATGCTTGGCACAGTCACCCCACATGCCCACAGCCAGGGCCCCACTCCTCGCCTGCAGCTCTGGAGTACCCGGTCTGCGCTGAAGCCTGAGGCACATGTCCAAGCGCCCCCCAAGGCTGAGCCGCCTTATGGCCCTTCCAGGGCAGCTTTAGGTGCAGATCTCAACGCTCTGCACAGATACGCATGTATCCTCACGCTGCCCCCGAGCAGTCGATTCCGTCCCCGCTGTGGCCCAGGGAAACTGAGGTAGCAAGAGGGGATGGGACGTGCCCAAGATCGCAGAGCAGGGCACAGACCCCTGACGTCCCGGCTGCCAGGCTGGGGCCCTGCACAGCTCTGTACAGACCGTCCCACCCACCTCCCGCAGCCATAGCTCCCGCTCCCCTCCGCCCCACCAGGCCCAGCGTCCACCCCCGCAGGGGCCACCCCGCAGTGCCGGGAGCTTTCAGGGAACGCAACTGGGCCCTGAGGCGTTGCCCGCTGGGTTAGGGCCACCCAGCCGGCCCGAGTGATCAGGAGGCCTTGAGTTCCCCCCACCCCCAACCTGGGGCGGAACGGACCCTGCCCGGAACCTTCCTTCGAGGCTGAGGGAGGGCCGGGAGCCCATGCAGCGGACCGGAAGTCAGTGAAGAGAACCGGAAGTCGGTGGTGCCGCGGTTCCGGGTTCGCGGGGCGGCGGCGATGAGCTTTGAGTGGCCCTGGCAGTACCGCTTCCCCCCGTTCTTCACGTGAGTCCCCGGTACCGGCCGCTGGCCCGGCCCCCCCGGAGCTCCCCGGCCCCTCGGAACCGCCCCCGGGCCCCCAGGAGCCCCCCCGAACCGCCCCCCGGAACCCCAGGAGCCCCCCGCGCCCTCGGAACTGCCTACGGGCCCCCCGGCCCCTCGGAACCACCCCCATCCCCCCGGGACCGTCCCCCCGGGACCGCCCCCAGGAGCCCCCTCGGAACTGCCCCCGGCCCCCCAGAGCCCCCCGTGCCCTCGGAACTGCCTACGGGCCCCCCGGCCCCTCGGAACCACCCCCATCCCCCCGGGACCGTCCCCCCGGGACCGCCCCCAGGAGCCCCCTCGGAACTGCCCCCGGCCCCCCAGAGCCCCCCGTGCCCTCGGAACTGCCGATGGGCCCCCCAGGAGCCGCCCCCGGGCTGACGGGGTCCCCCTGAATGTCCTCTGCCAGCCCTGCACCGGGCAGGCCCCTCCCACCCTTTGAGCCCCCCCCCCCCGTGCCAGAATCGGGCGCTGCGCCCGTGGATCTGGCCCCTGCCCGGTGCCGGGGCCCGCGTTACACGTCCCTGTGGCGTGTGCATGGACCCAGGGCCGAATGGCACCCTGGGCGAACTTGCATTTTGGTGGCCATGGTCCCCCATGGGCTCCCCACCGACCCCTGCCCTGTGCCCCCCGTCACTCCTACCCCTGCACCTCTCTCCTGAGCCGCTCGATCTGTGCGACGGGGGACCGAGTTCCGGCCAGTGGAGCAGATTGTGAACTGGCCACAGCCTGATTCGTGTCCTGCGGAGTGTCCCTGGCCCTCTCCGGCAGTGAGAGCGTAGCACGGGCTGATACAACTCGGCGTACCAGCCAGGTGGTATCTGGAGTGGGGGTAGGTGTCAGGAGCGCTGCTGGAGGCTTGCCTCGGGATTCATCTGTTGATGTAGCTGCTGTTTGTTAACGCTTCAGGTCCCACCAACATTATGGCAAGGTTTGCATGTAGGAGTGGCCTGTCTGGCTGCATTTGTCACCCACTTACACCTCTTTAAGCCCAGATCTTGCTGTGCCTGGAACCAGATGTTGACCTGGAGCACCTCTGGGTTTGTTTCTAGATTGCAGCCCAATGTGGACACCCGGCAGAAGCAGATGACAGCCTGGTGCTCCTTGGTTCTGTTGTACTGTCGCCTCAACAAGCAGTACACAATGACGGTCATGGAGGCCCAAGAAAGCCCACTTTTCAACAACAGGAAGCTGCAACGTATCCTTCACTCCCATGCTGTTTCCTTGCCCAGGTTGCTGTGGTGGCTTTAATGCAAACTAGGGCTGTCAATTAATCGCAGTTAACTCATGCGATTAACTCAAAACAATTAATTGCAATTAAAAAATTTAATCACAATTAATCACAGATTTAACCACACTGTTAAACAATAGAATACCAATTAAAATTTATTAAATATTTTTGCTGTTTTTCTACTTTTTCATATATATTGTATTCTGTGTTGTAATTGAAATCAAAGTGTATATAATTTTTTATTACAAATATTTGCACTGTAAAAATGATAAACAGAAGAAATAGTATTTTTCAATTCACCTCATACAAGTACTGCAGTGCAATCTTTGTCCTGAAAGTGCAGCTTACACATATTTGTTTTTGTTACATAACTGCTCTCAAATATCTTGCAGTGCCGGCTACAACAGTGCCACGAGAATGCCTCTTCTCACTTTCAGGTGACATTGTAAACAATAAGTGGGCAGCATTATCTCCCGCAAATGTAAACAAAGTTGTTTGTCTGAGCAATTGGCTGAACAAGAAGTAGGACTGAGTGGACTTGCAGGCTCTAAAATTTTACATTGTTTTATTTTTGAATGCAGTTTTTTTTGTACATAATACTACATTTGTAAGTTCAACTTTCATGATAAAGATATTGCACTACAGTACTTATATTAGGTGAATTGAAAAATACTATTTCTTTTGTTTTTTTTACAGTGCAAATACTTGTAATCAAAATAAAATAAAATAAGGTGAGCACTGCACACTTTGTATTCTGTGTTGTAACTGAAATCAATATATTTGAAAACGTAGAGAACATCCAAAAATATTTAAATAAATGGTATTCTGTTACTGTTTAACAGTGTAATTAATCGTGATTAATTTTTTTAATCACTTGACAGCCCTAATCTAAAGCAATAGTTTGAGGTGGATTTTACTATCTCTGTAAAGCATGTTAGGTTAAAAAGCAATCGGTAACTGCTGGAGGGGAATCCTGGAGAACAGTTTGGGTTGGGACCAGGGTGTGCTGAGTGGCGCAGTTCCCTACAGTAGTAGATGGCTGCTCTGTCCAGGACTCCATGAATACAGCGAGGGACTCTCAGTTACTTCTGGTACTTACAGAGCAGAACTGTTTGCAAGATGCACATTCTTCCAGGTCAACAGCTCTGCCCCTTGGCCCCGGACCAGCAGGCTCATTCCTGTTGTTAGCACTGCAGCATTAGGCAGTAAATAACCCTGGCCTGCCAGGGGCTTTCCCTGAACAAGCGGCGGCCCTAGTTTGAGAACCACTGCTCTATGCAGCAGACAGGAGGCAGGCCCTTGATCCAGAGCCGCTTGGCCAGGGGCGGCTACATTTGGGGTGGGATGGAGGGTGCAGGAGCAGCAGAGGCTGCAGATGGCAATGGAGCAGGAGGTGGGAGGAGGGGCTCCCCTGTTGCAGAGGAGTCACTTGGCTGGTCCAGCCACCCCCTTACAGCTCAGGTTGTCAGTCCACCCTCTCTAAATGCTGCCGCTCACCTGCCTAGCTGCCTCCATAAGCCCAGCTGGGTCTCAGCAGGTCAGGTGAGAGATACCACGCAGTGCACCTCTGAGTTGTGCACGGTGCCCCTGTGAGCATGGCGCTCTGGGTGAGGTCCTCCTTTGCCTACCCCTAAGGCTGACCCTGCCCCCTTCCCTCACTTTCATCCAGCCTGCCCTGTATTTGTCATGTGCTGCCATCCACCCCAGAGATGGCTGCATTTTGATGGGAATGTGGTTTTTGGCTTGTATGCGGTTTGTGAGGCACAGTGGAATCTTCAGTGATGAAAGCTGCCATGGAAATGTTACGTGGACTTATTATTTTAGAGCTTTGCTTATTTCAGTTATTTAGAACTGTGTCAGGGCATGCTTTGCTTTCGGTTCCTTCCCCCAACCAGTTTCTGCTGTGAACAGTGTTAGAGATGGTCACACAGCTGACATCATCCTCTGAGCTTTGTCTGTACTGCTAAATTGCACTAAATGTTTCCTTAACTCAGAACCAGGGAAACTCCCCATGGAATCCATACAAGTTGTACTAGAAGAACTCAGGAAAAAAGGTGGGTGGAAATCTCTGCTGAATTGTCTGTGTCTGTTCATGTTGCCTGTGCGGGGTGCGTCAGCAAGACCTGTGTCTAATTTCCCTCCTAGTGCTGAGAGTCTGGCTGTGCGACTGTCCCAAAACACTCTGGGCATGGACTGTACCACTCCTATTGGAATCTCCCTGAGTTCTGGTTGTTTTTCACTGTTGTCTCTGTTTTCAGAGCTCCTTGTCCATTTCCTTATGCAGCATTGCAAGCTGCTGCACAGGGAGAGGGAGAGTCAGGCCCAGAGGCAGGAAAGATTTTTTATTTGAATGTGGGGGTAGGTAGGAAGCTGGTGTGAGTGACAGGATGGGGTAGAGATGGAGCTACATACATACATAGCATCCACCTGTAATGAGGTGTCATTCTTGATTTGGGGCCCTGTGGTAAATACACCCTTTCCATTGCGTTTCAGGGAACCTAGAATGGTTAGACAAGAACAAATCCAGTTTCCTGATCATGTGGCGAAGACCAGAAGAATGGGGAAAGCTCATCTATCAGTGGGTGAGGCCACAGAAGCTTTGATACCATGGCCCAATTTCTGTGTGTGGGGGGCAGCTGTCATTTCAGACTCGCCGCAAAAGGATCTGAACTGAGTTGCTGATTTGACGTCTCACCCGCAACCAACCCTTTCTAACTGCCAGTCCCACAGGCGGATGGACGCTGCCAGACAGTCTGGCTTGTGATTTGTGAAAAATGCAACTGTCAAATGTTGGGGCCCTGATTTCCCACTGCCTTTAACTTTGTGGGTCCCATTTCCCTCTGCTGCAGAGGGGTGTAGGGATCGCTGCAGTGGTGCACACCTTACATTGTGTAAAAAGCTGTGATTTGCAAGTGAATACACTGTTCACACCCATCTCCTTGTGAGTGTGGGTGAGAGTTCAGTAGTGAGGACAAAGCTGCTGTTGCAGTCCCCTTCATGACACAAGTTCTCGTTGTAAAACTCATCGTCAGAGAGAAGGAATAAAGGATGGTGGGACAGCGACAGGGGTTAGACTGCTTTCTCCACAGTCAAATCTCCTTGTTTGAGGAGTTAGTTTTTGTGCCCAGTAAATACTGACTGGGTTCTACTCCATTGAAATGAAGATCCGGCAGAGATCAGTGCTGGGAATATTAACTGTTTGTAAGACACACAAGTGAAATTCTCTACGTTGCTCTTGCTTTTCCAGGTGTCTAAGAACGGCCTGACCAACTCTGTATTCACACTCTACGAGCTATCCAATGGAGATGACACACAGAATGAAGGTAACTCACATCACATGTGTTCTGGGGCTGCTTTCCAGAGCACAACAGTACTATAAGAATAAATAATTTGTACTGCCAGGTGACAATTTTAATGGTGAAATTCTTTACAATTGCTTGTAGTTGCTGCATGCTATCTCTGTATTTTGGGGCTCACACTGATCACCACTGAGAAGCAGGGCTGTAAGGTTTTTTCGCTACCCACCCCAAGATCTCCGTATCATTAATGTGTTATCCCTGCCTGTCACCGAGCCTCTCTCCCTTCACCATAGCAAAGCTCTGTCCTCGTGTTCCTCTGGCTCCAGGGGGGTTGTTTTTTCTTCCTTGTGAGATCTGCCTGACTCCCTTGCAGCTTTCAGGTCTCTGCTGAAAGCTGCATTATCTGTTCCTTCTCTGTTTAACAGCACCCAGCTTCTCTCTTTCTGACATGGCAGCAGTAGCTTGGATTAATTGTGCTCTTTGTTACGCTCTTGGGTCTGTGAAAGGTGCTCCGTAAGGCACCTCCTAGTTTGCCATCATAAGTTGCAGACTGTGTTGGTTTTGAGGTGTGATTCTTGTGGCTTCTATTGACTGAGAATGTTTCATCCTTCCCTAGAGTTCCATGGCTTGGAAGAGTCCATGTTGCTTCGTGCCCTGCAAGCCTTACAACAAGAGCACAGGGCTGAAATTATCACACTCGACGACGGCCGAGGCGTCAAGTTCTTTTAACAGGCACACCCTCCCTTCCCATCTCCTCTGACTGTTAAAGTGTTTCTAGCTTGAAAGGTTCAGTCTTGAGGCCTGGAATCGAGCAGTGACTGGAAGCAGCTGCGTATTCTGGCTTTCTTAAGGCAAGGAGAAGCTGTGAAGCCTTCTGAAGACATGACTTTTTCTTAGAAATCTTCAGAGATCTTCTGTCTTTCTCTTCTTCCTGTTGATTCTGTTTATCTGAGGGGTTAAAGCAGCTCTGGGTAGATTCAAGGGGAACCACTCCAGGACTGATGCAGAACCACTCCAGTTATTGACCCTAGTTCCCTTGAAAGTAGCTGAAGAGCAGGCACTGGCAAGCCAATCGCATGGCTCTTCAGCTGGTGGCTGGTTAGTTGAGTTTGGCTTTCAAAGGGCAGATCTTTCACCCCTGTTCCGGTCACAGAGTCAGGCTCTGCAGCCTGCAGAGTGCGATGAGCAGAACCACTGAACCGGTAACAGCTTTTGAGTTATAAAATATCTCAGCAGAAGAACGAGAGGTGCTCACTGTGAAGCAGGCAGCACCGGGTGTGGTGGGGGTGGGTGCCTGGGAATTAATTTGGCATAATTAAAAGAAGGTGTATTTATAGAGCAGCACTGGGTTGTTTTTTTTGCTTCATTGCTAATGAAACTGAGGGTTGCTTTTCTGTCAGGTTAGTGGCCTTACATTGTAATTCTGCGTTGAAAAGGCTGTGAAGATGGCAGCCTTCTGGGGAGAGGGGAAGGATTCCCAGCAAGTCTCTCTCGTGGTCTGTCTTTGTAAGTGAAAAGATGTCTCTTCTAACTGCCAGCCCCACAAACAGTCTGGGCTCTTCCAGCCTGTGTCCTAGGGTGTGCAGCCTGTGGCTAGAGGGATTGAGCAGGTGTGACAGGGCTGCTCTGTAGCAGTGATGGGTAGTGGGAGGGAACAGTTCGGTGTTCAGACCCTCTGCCCTGGTGACGATGGGTGAAACAGCAAGAGCTCAGCTTGATTCTGCTTGACAAGTCTTAGCTGTATTTTCTGGGGCAGCACGGGACAGTTTGTCCTTCCCTGCCCTTGTCTAAGCGGTGTTGGGCACTGATTCAGCTGCAGCCCTCGCTGACACCCATTGTCAACAGCAGGTAATTTTCAGTGCTGACAAGGTGCTAGAGCCCAGCCTGAGTTTGTGGGGCTGGTGGAGAGAAAACCCTTCTGCCTTGTAAAGGGAACTCGTTACTTGGAGTCAGTGGTACACGCGCCCTCAGTGCACGTGCTGTCCTCCTCACAGGGGGCTGTGGTGTGACACCTCGGCTCTGGGGCTGTATTTTACTGCTGTCCTGAGTGCTGCTTTGCTGGTAGGAGGTCTGGCTCCTGTAACCTAGGCTCAGAGGAAATAGCTCTGGCCTCATTCCTCTGCACCAAGCCGGGCCGGTTTACACAGGGCTAATGTGGTCTCCAGTCCTGTCTGGAGCTGATCATCTCTCTGCAAGGACTTTACTGGGCTGCGAATAAAGAGCAGGATAACACAGTGCCCTGACGTCCCCCGCCCCCAGCAGCCAGGATGGCTTGTTTTTTTGACAATTAAAGTCTTAAACAATTGGTTTGACGAGCCATAACCGTAACCCTTTGCTTCCCAGTGCTGCCTCGTTGTTCCTCTCTCATGTCGGGGGTTTTGACTGGCTGTTTCGACAAAGTGGATTGTGACTCCTTATTTAAGGCACTGATGTGTGGGCATGGTGCTCTCATGTGACTTGCCACCCACCCCATCACATCTCCCCTGAAACTGACAGAGAGGCAGCTGAGGCTAGGAAACCTCTTGGTCTGTTTCCCTAAGTGCTCACAGTTTCCATCTCCCCGCAGGTGACGCAAATACTGAGCAAAAATAGTTACCCTTCAGCCGGAGCCTGGTAATGAATGGGTAAGAAAAACAGACCTGAGCCCACCCTCGTCTGTGAACCGCACCAAGAGTCACTGTGCTGGGGGCTGGCGCCCTGTGTTGGCGTCTCTGGCTCCCGTCTGGACAGAGCGGCAGTGGGTGGTTGTGCTCTAGAGCATCAATTGAACAAGTCTGGTTTGTTTGTCCCAGCAGAGGGAGCCAGTGCACTCCCTGCGGAGCCTGTATCCCTCAACCAGTGCCTCCAGCCGCGCACTGCCCTAGGACAGTGCCCCAGCTCACTATTCTTTGGTTCAACACGTTTTCTCATTGGCTTCCAGCCCTCTCCCATGCTGTCTGCAGACCAGATGTGTGCCAGTGAAGATCTCTACTTCAGGGTCGGCTTTGGTTCCTCCCTGTTCTCCCCTCACATCCAGGCTCCTACCAGTCTCTGCTGTTTGCCCTCTCTGTCCTCACAGCTCATGCTGTAGCTCCTCTACCCTTCCCCTCTCCAGCCCCTGTGCCCTCCTCTCTCCGCTCCCTTCCACACACTGCAGCAAAGGTTCTCTTCCTTGGTGGCTCTGTGCATGGACAGCCCCGGCTAACCCACATGCCAGTAGTGGGGATGGTACCAGCAGTGTTACAAACCTTCTTGTCTGTGACCCTGAGCTGTGAGTCTTTAACAAACAGGCCCAGGGTGTTTGTGTGTCTTTCCTGTTCACGTGGCTCAGACCTGCTCTGGGCCTTGCATTCCTGCTAGAGTTGCCTTCCCGATATGTACCCTTGCTCTCCATGACTGAGTATATGTTCTTAATTAAACATGCTGCTGCCTCAGGAAAGAGCTGATGTGGCTTTAGATAACCCTGTAGCCAGCACACTGTATTACCTTTTGCCCGGAGTGCTCTGACACCCCTTCCCTGCCCGGGTCCAGTCTCCCAGCTAGCTAGTTGCTCTGTGGGAGGAGGAGGAGGAACAACATCCCTTTTTTTCCCTCCCAGGATGACAAAGTAACCAGGCCACCTCACAGCCTTGGGGGAGCGGGAGCTTCCCCTCCATCACATCCAGTCAGCTCTAACCTGGATGGCGAGTTCCTTGGGGCAGGGACTGTCTGTATTCTCTCACCAAGGCCCTGCCCAGTGGGGGGCTGTATGGAAATGTCCATATTGCGACCAGCTGCCCGTCCTGTGGAGGAAGGACTGGACTGTCTGAAGGGGCCAGGTAGAGCAACATTGTGCATGGTGTGGTCTTGTGACTAAAACTGCTGCGGCCAGCTGGTGCCGCCATGTCCACCAGAGCCCAAAGAGCCTTGCTGGCCACTGCCTGTCCTTGCAGGATCCCAACGGCGCGACTGCCAGCCATGGCAATGCAAACGGCGCCGGCATCGGGAGGGGTAATAACCAGGCTTTTTATTGTCATCAGACATTGTTTGGCATCCTTATCTGCGTAGCGTGCGTGGCTTGGCAGTGACATCAGAAGCAGGCTGGCTTGTGTGGGTTGGAGTTGCTTGCGCTTGAGCCATTCTGGGTTGGAAGCCCTGAGGTGCTGTGTGGAGCTGGAGGGGTTCTTGTACAAGTGCCAGGAGGGAAATAGCTGTGATTGCCGGGCCGTTAGCTAGGTGAGAGCCGTGTCTCCGGAGCGCCTCGCAAACAGCAGCTGAGCCACTCAGCCAAGCCAGGGGTGAGACCGGCGTTTGGCTTCCCCGGCTACCTGTTTTCTCCACCTTCTGTGCTGTGTCTGACACCAGACTGCAAGCTGTCTGGAGCAGGAGTGGTCTGTGCCACACACAGCACAATGGGGCCCTGATTCTTGCCTGGGGTTCTCAGGGGATACCACTCCCGCCAGCTGGATTGACGTGGGTTGTTCTCTGGCCTGGGTTACACAGGAGGTGAGACTAGATGGTCCCCTCTAGCCTTCACATCTATGGAAAACATCATTGTCATTTCCAGAGAGGGCCTGGAGAGCAGAGGCTAGCCCATGGTCACACGGGAGGGAACAGAACCCAGGCGTCCTGACGCTCTGGACCGGCTCTAACCAAAAGACTCCACTCCCTCCCCTTCATATTTCTTCACAGCCAAGGAAGAACTCCAAAGATCTTCTGTATGTAAAGCAAAGGAATTGGTACACATGGAAAGTACAACCTCCGCCCCTCAGCTCGGAGGAAGGAGAACTGCCGTGTGTGTGCTGCAGGCCAGGGTTGGGAATAAAGCACAAGTTGGGGGGTGCTGTCAAATGGAGCGGGAAGAAGGAAAGAGTGAAGCTTGAAGAATCACAGCGCTTTCACCTTGGGCTTTGCCAGAAAAGTGTCAGAAAGTTGCCCAAAGAGGCTTCTGCTTCCCTGGGCTAGAAAAGAGAACCTGGAGCAGGCAGATAACAGGCAGCCAGTTCCAACAGCCCTGCTTCGGAAACCTACACTCAGTTGTAGTTGAGACAAGATGGAAAGGAGACCTCCCCGCTGGTCCATGGCAGGAGGGTACTCTGCGTGCACAGGGGTTCAGTGGCTGACACCGAGGCAGGGACCTGTGCAAAGCCCAGCTGTGCGGAGCCTGCTGGGTGGGTGTGGGGGATGGTTGCCGGGTAGGAGAAGCAGTGGGATCAGGTTTCACCCATTCCCACTGTAGTGACACAGGAGTCTGGACTCCCACTCTGCAGCAGCAGCCACCTGGGATAGGGGCCCCACACTGAGACTCAGCTGTGTGGGGCCTGTTTGGAGCCTCCCTGTTCACACTTTTCAGAGGAACAGCCGTGTTAGTCTGTATTCGCAAAAAGAAAAGGAGTACTTGTGGCACCTTAGAGACTAACCAATTTATTTGAGCATGAGCTTTTGTGAGCTACAGCTCACTACTGTGGGGCACTGTCCCAGCCAGGAGGGTGCACTGCTCCCGCACTGAGCCCTGGCTGGCCCTTTGGACACTCCCAGGGCAGTGGCTTGTCAGATTCCAGCGGAGGCTCTGCTACTGCGCCAAGGGTTGGGGTTAGGCAGGTCTCTCTGAGCTGATCAGGTGCCCTGCAGATCTGAGATCACAGCTGCAGCTGGTCACACTGATTACAGATTGTTTTCTGCAGTTTCCACGGTATGCATCCGATGAAGTGAGCTGTAGCTCACGAAAGCTCATGCTCAAATAAATTGGTTAGTTTCTAAGGTGCCACAAGTATTCCTTTTCTTTTTGCGAATACAGACTAACACGGCTGTTACTGTGAAAACTGATTACAGGCTAATTGGCCTGGGGAAGGTGGAGCATAAGGGGCCCTGGGCTGAGATAAGGGCACTATCAGGCCATGCACACCCAGCTCAGACCTGCTCATGGGGGAGGAAAGAAGCTTGGGGCTTTTTTTTAAATGTCGTCGGTGTCGTTTCAGTTTGATCAATTCTGACCCCTTGTCTCTGGGGAGCCCTGAGTCTGGGTACGTGTGCTTTGGGGGACTGATTGTACATAAGATTAGGACTGGAGCTCCAGGAGGAAAGTGACCTGCATCACACCAGGAGCTGAGAACTCCCGCAACCAGGTCACTGAAAACACATGGTTCCCTTAAAAAGAAAAGGAGTACTTGTGGCACCTTAGCGACTAACAAGTTACTATCCTTGTCAGGAACTCAGGGCTCTGGGACTCCTCTCAAGCAGGGGGTGGCATCACCATGCCCCTAGCGCAGAGCAGGGAGCACGCCCTGCCAGGAAGCAGTGGCATGAGGCAGGCATGACACTGCATGTTGCCTGGGTAGGCGAGTGACTCTGCTGTGGATGTGCTGCGCAGCTGGGACCTTCTTGAATTTTTCTGATCGTGCCCAGTTCTCCTGACATCCTGAGTCTTGTGCTGTTCTGCTCCATCTGCCTTGTGAAAGGGTTCAGCTGAGCCCTGGGATTTGAGGCCCTTCTCAGCAGTGTGGTTAATTTTGAGTTTTTAATGGGATCTGTCCACCCCAAGATACACACGGCAGGGCCCAAAGCCTTCCCCATATGTGCAGAGGCTGGGGCAAGCCCAGGATGCTACCCTGCCAGCGCCAGTCCAGCCAGATATATGGTTCCCCAGAGCGTGTAGTTGATTGAAACGTGCGACCCAGTCTTGCGCAGGGGAGGCCTGGGGACCATGACCAGATGCTGAGAGGCGCTGAGTTCAGTAGGTGCTCAGTCCTCCTCCCTGCTCAGCCCCTTTGCAGCCCCTCCGTCTCCCTGCCATGAACTCTGAGCTCAGAGGAGGTGGGTTCTGGCAGCACGGGCTGGAGCTAATAAGCGAGAGTGGAGCGCTCAGCAGAGCAGCGTTCCCTTTGATTCGTGACCTCATCCCCTAGGAGAGTGACTGCCCAGCTGGCAGCCGAACACATCGGAAAATAGATTAGGTTGCTTCATTAGAGCGGGCCGTCAAAGAGCAGGGCCGGCACCGGCAGCAGGGGCCACAGAAATGTCACCCTGATAAGACCCTGCGTGGTGTGTACAATCCCTGAGCTCTAGGGACCAGCTCTCCATGAAGGGCTGGGAGTTTGTATTCTCAGCCCACGTCGGACTCCCACATGGTGCCCCAGGGTTAGGTCAAGAGGAGGTGGCTGGAAGGCGCCTGTCTCCGCCGTGCAGCAGCCACGCCCCTTTCAGCTGTGGCGAGTATGGGGCTGGAGTCTGAACTCCTTGCGGCATGATGGGACAACGCCAGGGCAAACTCCCTTTGCCTAGTCCCTCTGCCAGCATGACTCCTCCTCCTTGGGTGGGAGAGGGGTGTTCATCCTCCATGCTCATCAGGGCTTGGCCCCTCTGCTGAGGCTGCTGACAAGAGGCCTGGCCCCAGAAGTGGCTTTTGTGATGGGGACACCTGGCTGCCAGAAGCTGAGCTGAGGTCCCCAGACGGACTCCTGAGCCCCAGCAGCTCCAAATATGGCCCAGTGACCTGGAGGCAAAGAGGTCTGGTGCCCCCGTGCCAGCCCTGCCCTCCAGCGTTAACACGGACATCCTGTTAGCTCTGAAGCTGACAACGTATCCCAGGAACTCAAATGCCAGGTGAGCTCCCGGTTTTCCACCTGGTCATCAAGCCCAGGCTCTGTGCAGCCTTCTAGACCCGCGCTGGGTTTGGTCCCATTTCCATGCACTGGGCCAAGCCCCATAGTTTATATAACAACACTCTCCGAAGGCTTGGTGGGGGTGTCGGTGCTGAGAAGGGAGAGAGGAGAGCGAATCTGCTTTTCCTCTGCCTGGGGTGTCGGACTCTGTGCCAGAACGGGTGGTGCGGCCGGACGAGCAGCACAAGGGGCCGTGCTGCGTGCGCCTGTGCCATTGGGAGGTGGCAGCAGTCCCGGGCGCGCCGGGTTTCTCTCGCAGAGGGTGGAGTTCTTTCCCCGTGTTATTTTGGAAGCCATTGGCTTGCACCAGTTGGTGCCAAGCTCAATATCCCCCAGCCACATGTTCTCGTGTCCCTGTCTCTGAGCTGCAGATTATTCTCACAGGACAGCTGCAGAAAAAGCCGCACCCTACCTGTGTACGTCAGGCTGAGGATCCCTGGCTTTGCTAAAAGCCACCGCCAGGACAGGAGAAGAGTGAAAGCAATTACTGGAAACTAAGCCGGGAACTTTACACACCTGACATATGCTGCAGGAGCAGGGAAGCTGCAGCCTCATTCCCGCAGCTTTGCCGGGCCCTAGAGGGGAAGGTAAAGCTTGGATCAGGCATGCTGCTTCCTCTGGCTGCCCTTCACTGCGGGCAAACACCCGACTGGCTTTGTGCCCAAACGGGTATTTGGCAAGTGAATTCACTGGGAAGGGAAGTCGGGCCAATGCCTGTCTGAATGCTCCACCACGGGAGCTGTGTGACCCGCAGGGACAACCTACCCCCTCGGGGTGGATCGCTAGAAAAAGTCATCTCCTGTTCCCTCCTGTGCAGAGCGAGCACACATCATTCTGCAGAGCTGAGCACCCAGGTGTGTGGTCTGTCACAACCAGGCCCCCGCTCCGCCATAAGAACATAGCGTTTGCCGGACCGGATCAGCCCATTGGTTCAATGGCTCTGGCTTCAGAACACAGCAACCCCCTCCTCCCCTGACCTGGGCATTGCTGAGTGGGCAGCTATTCCACCCAGCCATGTTTCTGCAAGCTGCCTGTGCCCGTTCTCCCAGCAGCCTGTGCCCCTGGGGAGCAGAGGGGTGGGCTGATTTCTTCTCCCAGCTCACACACCCAAGCTACGTTAGCAATTTTCAAGCAAGGAGAGAGAGTGGGTCTCAACAAAGAGGGTGCTGGGGGGAGAAGTCATGCCCAATCCACTTGTTCGCTGAGCAGGGGGGAGGTGATGCTATCAGGAACCCGCCAGTGTTCAGGGGATTTGCAGTTTGATCCCAGACCTATCTAGGGCCTCTGCAGAAACAACATTTCATTAAATGTTTCTCGACACCCCCCCCACCCCACCACCCCCCAGTTAAGGGGATTTGCAGTGCTGCACATTGACTAGTGCTGGGTTATAAACTTTAGCTGCTGCTCCAAGGATCTGTGTATAATGTCCTGGAAATGTGGGTTTAGTGGCTTTAATCTGAGTGGACACTGCTGGGCTGAAATAGTTCCTCTTATCGTTTAGTAGAAACAATCTGACTTTAGGGGAAATACATTAATCTGAGCGACAATTGCTTTGTATTTTGTGTCAACAGCTCCACAGAACTGTTAAACAAACGGAGAGCACCTCCCAGTTTAACCGTAAAGGCAACAGGTGCTTGTCCGTATGCGAGATAAAGGCTGCTGGTCCAGGCCATACACTTGTTAATAGCTCATAACTTAATGTCATTATTACACACTCACTTTGCTATTTTCACCAGTAGCTAAAGCAAAGCTGGCTGCCATGCTGAGGCAGCAGAGACAGACACAAGGGCAGGCCTTGAATCACAGCTGCACGAAGCAGGAGTCGGTTACAGCAACTTGCAAGAGAGAGGCGGCTGCTGCTTTCCAGTAAACATGATGCTCTGAAGCCTTGGGTTAAAAGCAGTAAGTAAATGACTAGATCAAGCACTTTGGTACAGCTCAATTACACCTGCGTCACCCCGCTGGCTGAGTCATTTCACACCGTACTGGAGAATGGATTGCAGGGAGCGAGCCTGGGAAAGCCAGGGGCTAGCTGGGACCCACTCTGACTTTCCCAGCTCTATAAGGAGAGGAGAGGCTGGGGTGGCATAAATTAAGCTCTCTGTAAAGCATCTGGTCTGATCAGGGCTGGCCCTAGACCAAATGGCGCCCTAGGCACGGAGCATTTTCGGTGCTCCCCCCCACCCCACATTTGTTAAACTTCTGAATGTCTTATTTTTTGCTGCATTTGTAGCCCATTTCATGAGTTTGATGGATGATTTATCCCTGTCACATAAGATGATAAATTTACACACTAGGATCTGTAAATCTATTTATTCATGCCATATATAAGCCAATACAAATAATTTGTTTCCTCTAAGTTTATAGAAACTTTTTAATTTTAAGAGTAACTGAAATGTACTAACATCAAGAAATTGAACTGTGCACCTACATTGGGGGGACATAATAACGTAAGAGCAGCCAGACTGGGTCAGAACAATGGTCCATCTAGCCCAGTATCCTGCCTTCCGACAGTGGCCAATGCCAGGTGCCCCAGAGGGAATGAACAGAACAGGGAATTGTCAAGCGATCCATCCCCTATCGCCCATTCCCAGTATCTGGCAAAACCAGTATTAAGTAGCATTCCAGTAGATGACAGTCTTAGAATGTTAACACTAGTCCTTTAGTTCCAAAGATCACTTTTCTCGCCATTTCCCTCACAAACTGAAGCAGTGTCAGATCCAAAGACAGGCCAATGGCACTTTCAAGCACTAAAATAGCAAGCGATGTCAGTCTCTCATTAGCCGTCGTCGATCGAAGTTATCTTTTAATGAACCTGAGCTTTGAAAAGCTGCACTCACCACTTACGACTGTGACCGGCAGCATGAGCAGAATCCTCAAAGCTATCCACACATTAGGAAAAGTGTCCTCCAGCTCTGCATCATGTATGAACTGGAGAACTTGGAGTGGAAAGTGCTCCCCGTGTGGCAAAATGGGATGGCTGTTGTCCAATTCGACAAGAGGTCTTTAGCATTGGTGTCCGAACATTCCCCATGTGTCAGTGTCCGGCGAAGGTCTGGTGAATTGTTCAAGAGTCTTTTCCTGTCCACCGGCAGCTTACTAAGGTCATACAACCCTTCTCCCTGCATCCCAGTCTTTTCCTGGTGCTTCATTTGTCCGAACCTTTCTTCGATGGACACTCAGCAGTGTCAGTGAGTGAGCAAAAAAACCTCCCTCTGGAACTTTTCTTCCAAGCTTCCCATCACCTCATCTCGGCCCTCGTAACCAAACTGTCTCTTCTTCTGATGAATAAGAGTTTCCTTGAATACATGCTCAAATCCTCAGGATTCCACCATTTCTTTGGCACTAGTGATGGCCTCTTCAAATCTGTTGACTGGTGACGCCCCGCCCCTTAAATACCCGCGAGGGCCAGGCTGACAGTGCTCTAGGAGGTTCGAGGAAAATGTAGTTCTCAGAAAGTTTGGAAGGTTCCATGAAATTCTACAAAAGTCCAGAACATTCTAGGAGGTTAGTTAAAAATGAATCCACACACAGACTACCTGGAACATTTTACTTCCAACCTTCTATTTTCCCTTTTGTCACTAACAACAAAAACAGCACCCTGAGCCTGGTATCCCCCGAGCCTGGTATCCCCCAAGCCCAGCACCCCATGTGGTCCGGCCCTGGTTCTGATCACTGTGCTGTGACAGCGCATGGCTGGCTCTCCCTACTCCCCTCACTGAGCATGGGAAAGTTACAGCCTCAGCAGAATAACGTGCAGCCAAGTGAGGAAGACGTGACCAGTGTGGACTCACACAGGTGAATTCTGCCGTTTCCCTGCAGCATCAGCATTTTAGGGGTCGCTTCCTTGGTGTGGGGGTGGCTGGGTTTGTGGATCAAGAGTCTCCTCCACCAGGAACGCCCTCCCCAAGTGCGCTGCAGAATAGACAGCAGAGGAAGGAGCCCTGTATAGCAAGTGGCTCTGTGCTGCATACAGGAAGGAACTCGTGCCATAGCAGGACAGACCAGCGGGCCATCTATAAGAATAACAACACTTGTTATCCACAGATCTCAAAACACTTTACGAAGGAGGTCAGCAATATCAACCCCATTGGACAGATAGGGAAACTGAGGCCCAGAGAGACTCAGTGATTTGTAAAAGGTCAGTGGCAGAGTCAAGAACACAATGAGCCCCAGTGCAGTGCCCGGGCTCCCCAATCTAGGCCAGTCTCCTGCCTCTCCCAGACAACAGAGCTGCATGTGTGGGAGGGAAGGACTTGGTCATGAGTTGTGTGCCCTGGTCTGACATCACCCCGTGATGTGGGTCTGTCCTTTAGCTGGGGGCAGAAGGCACTTGGCCCACAGGGCTCATTAGCCCACAGTGACCCGAGAGATCTTTGTGCCCAAGTGCTCCTGTCCCAGTGTCGGTCTTTCTGCAAGGAGGATCTATCTCTTTGGGCTTTGCCATCCCAATATTTGGGGCTTTCCTTTCTGTCAGAGCAATGCCCCCGGTGCCCACTTGGGACCAAGGCCCCGCGGTGCTAGGGGCTGTACAAAGAACAAAGGCAGGCCCTGCCCCAGAGCGGGTTTGGACAGAAGGCCAGGCGAGTAAGGAAGGGGCAGCCGAGGCCATGCAGAGACAGCACCCGTCGTGTGGCCGCCACAGCCGGCTCAAGTGGCCCCGGAACAGCAGGCTAGGGCGGACTGGAGCGGGGCGCAGGGGGTCAGGCTGGCGAGTTCTGGCAAGGTGGCGCTGTTCTTGTAGGGTTGCTCCTGGAGGGTCTGAACTGTCCCAGCCTCACCAACACCTGTGTCCTCCTGATGGCGGGGGGGCGAGTGGGGAGCCCCGGGCTGGCCTTGCCCCCATCCGGGCTGGCGCCGGGGCTGCTGCTGCTCACCCGGCTCTCCGGCCGGCGGGGGCCGGCGGGGGCGGGCCGGGGGCGTGCGGTGCGCTGCGCTGCGCCCGGGGAGGGGGAGGCGCCAGGCAGGCGGAGCTCGGCTCCGGGCAGCCCAGGGCCGGCGCCTTACAGCGGCTCCCAGTCCGGGCTCGGGGGCTGCTGCGCCTCCAGGTGAGAAGCGGGGAGCCCGCCTGGCCCCGGCGCGGACCCCCCACCCCCATGCTGATGCTCCACGTGGCCGGGCCCCCCGCGGCCGGAGCCATGTCCCAGACCGAGGTGGATCTGTCCGGCTGCGGCATCGCCCTGGAGCCGGCGACCCCCGGCCGGGCAGCCCCGCTCCGCAGCCGGGGGCGCGAGAGCCGCCGCGGCTCCCACAGGTTCAACCGGCGGAGCTCGGCCGAGCTGGAGCGGCTGGGCTACGAGGGGGCCCCGGCGCCGGCGTCCGGCCCGGCCGGGGCGCAGGACGCGCGGGGGGACCCCCGGGCTCTCCAAGGCGCAGAGCCCGCGGCGCGCTCCGGCTCGGGGAGCGAGAGCGGCGGCCAGACGCCCTCGCCGCCGCCGCCCCCCGGCCGGGTCTCCCCGCGCGGCGCCCCCCCGGACGAGAGCCGCCGGGCGCAGGAGGAGAACGAGGAGATCGAGACCCGCGCCGTGGCCACCTCCCCGGACGGCCGGTTCCTCAAGTTCGACATCGAGATCGGCCGCGGCTCCTTCAAGACGGTGTACAAAGGGCTGGACACCGAGACCACCGTGGAGGTGGCCTGGTGCGAGCTGCAGGTGGGTGCGGGCCCCTCAAGGGGGGCGCGGGGGGCTCTCCGGGCCAGGCGCCCTCAGGCAGGGGCGTGTGGGGGTGCTGAGAGCCACTGCACCAAACTGTACGCCCTGGATATGATGGACAGCACCCCTAGTTCCAGCGCCTAAGCCCTCGGGTGGGCCTGGGGGGTCCCTGGGGCCGGCTGCTCCCCAGTGGTCACTTCACCGCGCAGCCTGTAAGTGTGGGAGGTGCTGCAGAGCCGGGAGCCCCCGTCCCTTGGCACCTGGCCGGCCCGCTGCGCTCCGGGCGGGGAGGTGCTTGCCTGTGGAGGGGGGGAGGGAGAATGGGGCCTCCTGAGTTCTTAGTGGGGAAGGCACTTGGCTTGGACTGGGTGCTGTGGCTCCCGGAGGTGGCTGGCTGGGCAAGGCACAGTCCCTTGGGGAGGAGGTCCTGGCTGTCAGCTGCTTGGACCCTGATGTCTGACAAATGTGGGCGATTCTGTTCAGGATCCTTCTCCCGTGCTCCAGGGGCTAGTGGAAGCTGCTCCCCAGCGCAGGGACACAGCGACTGCGGGGCTGGGGCACCTCACTCTAGCCAGCCAGCCAGCCTAGCAGGCCCCTGCTCAGGACCCAGCATAGGAAGACCCTGCTTGGTTTCCCCACTCTGGGGCTGCCCCCTGCTCCCCCAACGTTCCCAGATCAATGGGGCTCTACTTCAGGGTTAATCAGACGCTGCCCTGGGGCACAAGGCAGCCCCTTGGCACTCAGGCCCCAGGGGGTGGGTCGGAGGTGAGGGCTGTGTGGGAGTTTCTCCAGTCCCTGGCCCTGGATTGCTGAGTTAGGCAGGTTGGAGTGAGGCAGCAGGATGTGCCTGGCCCCTGGCTCAGTGCTTTGGCTCTGCCTGTGGTGTTGGCTGGGCTAGGGCAGGCCGTTCGGCAGGGCCAGCTTTTCTGCAGGTGCCTGGTCAGAGGCTCCTTTCACCAGAGGGAATTAAGAAAGTCTGGGGTTTCTGATTGGCCAGCGCTTGGTCCTGACCCAGTCCCTTTGACAGTCCTGGGACTGAGCCGTGGGTCGGATTGGGCTCTCCTAGACCCCCAAAGCTGAGTTCAAGACACGTCTCTCAGACTTCAGGTGGGGGCATGTGTGGGTCCCTGCACTCTCTATCGGCTTTAGCTTCAGCCTCTTTCTTATTCCCTGGGCTTCCCACTCCCCAGGGATACTTGTGATTCTGCGTCAGACTGGGGAAGAAGGAGCTCTGAGAAGGTAGGGGGAGGCTTGGGGTCACGTCTGTTCATTTCTCTGTTATCTCTGGCTCCTGCAGCCCCAGGTCTCTCCCTTCCATTAGTAGTGGTCTCCCGTGGCTGGCATGCTGGACCTGTGATTTCTGTTATGTAGGAGAGGGAGCTGGCAGCAGCAGCCACAGATACTGACTTACTGTAATTCATGGCTATTCCCACTGGTGCCATTTCTGCGGATGGACTGCAGCAGCCTTATAGATGGTGGATAGAAAGCTGGCTGGATCATCGGGCTCAACGGGTAGTGATCAATGGCTCCATGTCTAGCTGGCAGCCAGTATCCAGTGGAGTGCCCCAAGGATTGGTCCTGGGGCTGGTTTTGTTCAATATCTTCATTAATGATCTGGAGGATGGCGTGGATTGCACCCTCAGCAAGTTTGCAGATGACACTAAACTGGGAGGAGAGGTAGATCCGCTGGAGGGTAGGGATAGGATACAGAGGGACCTAGACCAATTAGAGGATTGGGCCAAAAGAAATCTGATGAGGTTCAACAAGGACAAGTGCAGAGTCCTGCACTTAGGATGGAAGAAGCCAATGCACAGCTACAGACTAGGGACCGAATGGCTCGGCAGCAGTTCTGCAGAAAAGGACCTAGGGGTTACAGTGGACGAGAAGCTGCATATGAGTCAACAGCATGCCCTTGTTGCCAAGAAGGCCAATGGCATTTTGGGCTGTATAAGTAGGGGCATTGCCAGCAGATCGAGGGACGTGATCGTTCCCCTCTATTCGACATTGGTGGGGCCTCATCTGGAGTACTATGTCCAGTTTTGGGTCCCACACGACAAGAAGGATGTGGAAAAATTGGAAAGAGTCCAGCGGAGGGCAACAAAAATGATTAGGGGCCTGGAACACATGACTTATGAGGAGAGGCTGAGGGAACTGGGATTGTTTAGCCTGCAGAAGAGAAGAATGAGGGGGGATTTGATAGCTGCTTTCAACTACCTGAAAGGGGGTTCCAAAGAGGATGGATCTAGACTGTTCTCAGTGGTAGCTGATGACAGAATGAGAAGTAAAGGTCTCAAGTTGCAGTGGGGGAGGTTTAGGTTGAATATTAGGAAGAACTTTTTCACTAGGAGGGTGGTGAAGCACTGGAATGCGTTACCTGGGGAGGTGGTGGAATCTCCTTCCTTAGAGGATTTTAAGGTCAGGCTTGAGAAAGCCCTGGCTGGGATGATTTAGTTGGGGATTGGCCCTGCTTTGAGCAGGGGGTTGGACTAGATGACCTCTTGAGGTCCCTTCCAACCCTGATATTCTATGAATTGAGCAACGTGCGCCCCTACCCACCCCCCTGCATGGCTCAGATCCGTAGGTGCCCATGTGCTGGCATCTTGGTGCTGTGCTATTTCTGCCATAAGAACGGCCAGCCTGGGTCAGATCCAAGGGTCCATCCAGCCCAGTGTCCTGCCTGCCGACAGTGGCCAGTGCCAGGTGCTCCAGAGGGAATGGACAGAACAGGGAATCACCAAGTGATCCATTCCCTGTCGCCTATTCCCAGCTTCTGGCATGTTGGGTGTGAAATGCTCCTGACATCTCGCTGCCCAGCTGCTCTGGACTCCTCCCAGCTCAGTTCTGCATCAGTCGCAGCTTCCTGCATGGCTCCTTCTCATCACTTGGTGAGCACCCGCAGCATGCTAGTGCCATGCATGGCGATCCCTGGCCCACAGAGCTTGGAGATGTGTATCAGGCCTTCTGTGCCAAGGTTAAGTGCCAGACTCTGGGCTTCCTTTTCTGCATGCACTGTCCCACCCATCAGAGGGGCTGCTTCAAACACCAGCCTCGCCCCTATTGCCAGCTCTGTGCCAAGTTCTGTGGAACTGGCCCCTTCAGGTTCTGATTTAGGGGCACTGTTGGCAGGTGTTGGAGGTGTCTTTGGAGTGTAGATGGGAGCTACGGTTCCTCTCAGGTTCTCCCTGACAGAGGCTAGTGTGGTGCCTGTGGCTTAATTAACAGAGATTTGTTGTTGGGTGCCCATGGGGGGTTTGTGTGAGACGGCCAGAAGCTCTGTGGTGCCCTTGGGTTGGATGCAGAAGCTGCTTTAACACGCTCGGACCTGGTGCTTTCTGGTCTCCTGCCAGCTTTCCCATCCCTTCCTCCTCCAACCCCAGCCTCCCTCTCCTGGGGCTGGGGAGCGTGTGCTGAGGGGGGGCTGGTTTCTCTAGCCCCCACCCTCCTTCCTGCTGTAACCTGTAGCACGGCTGTATGGGGACTAACCCTGCTGGAGGACCCCACCTCTCCATACAACCCCTTGGGATGGGCTTTGGCTGCAATCCAAAATCTCTGACCACCGTCTCGTCCTTGGGTCGGCTGGCGCAGCTGCGAGTTCCAAGTCCTTGTTTACACAGAAAAAACTTGTCTTGCGAGTTTGTCTCCTGCCCCTCAAAGCAGCGTGGGGCGTCACTGTGTGCACACCCGATGGCTGCATCTCTGGGTGGGAGGAGGGACTCCTGCATGGCAGCAGGTGGTTCTGTGAGAAGGGACATTGTGCCCTGGGCAGCAGGCTGGCCCTTCGTGTCTGCCCACTGAAGCTTTGTTCTGTGTCCCGGAGCTTTCTCCCAAAGCTTCGTACCTTGCATACAAATCAGATGCCCCTTGTATTAGTGGTGACACTTCCCGGGGTCAGGCATTGAGGTCCTTTGCCCAGAGGTCACAGTCGCGCTCTCTGTGGTCAGCCCCACGGTGCCTGGCTTTTCCTGTGTGTGTAATTTTTGTGTCCCTCTGTGGGTTTGTCACGTGCTGTGTCCTGTATTTGGGCTGTGCCAGGCATGTGTGTCCCTGGCCTGCTCTCCACGCTTGCAGCGAGTGCAGCCTGGGGGCGTCTGGCCACCTTTCTTAGCCCCAGGTTGGCCTTAGTGTTGCTGCTCCAAACCGAGTTGCCAGGC